CATCAATGGCCTCTTGCATCTTATCCATTCTGCTTATAAATCCTCCCAGAAATTATTTCACTTCTGTAATCTCCCTCCGGATGTCATCCCTTAGCTCTTGTATATTTCTCTGCAGCTGCGTCAGCATGTTTATGATTTTTATTTTGAATTCTTTTTCAGGAATACTGGTTAGGTCTATCACCTTCTCAGGGGTTGACTCTGTGATCTTGGTCAGCCTCAAATTCTGCCTTTTCATGGTGATAGAGATAGTTTGCGGAGCTAGCACGAATGACGGCTGGGAGAACGTCCCTTCTTTTTGGTTTGTGGCCTTCGTCTCCTGGGAGAACAGCGACCTCTAGTGGCTTGTGTTGGGCAGCTGCATGCAGATGGGGCCTTTGATTCTTGCACGGCCGCTGTGAAGTTTAGCTCTGCAGTTGCTGTGGTCGTGGCCTGCCTCGGGCCGCTGCTCCGATGTGGCAGAGCTGCGTTGGTGGGGAAACGGCCGGAAGGCTGTGTACCTCTGTGAGGGGCCTCCAAGCTGCCCTGGTGTCTAGGGGGTTAGGGCACCCAGAGTTCCCCGGAATTCCCAGCTCCTGGGCTAAGTGTCCCGGGACCCTTCCGTCTAGTTGTGGGGTCCCTGTCCCTTTAAAACTTTCAAAAAGCTCTCGCTTTTCTTTATCCCAGGGGTGCTGGCTGCAGGGACCCATTCACAGGTCCTACTGTCCTGTTTCCCTAGTTTCCAGCACCCCACGCATGCACTGTGTCTGCACTCTGGTGAGGATGGCTGGGGCTGGGTGTTTAGCAGTCCTGGGCTCCCTCTCCCTCCCTGCTCTCACTCCTCTCCTCCTGCCGGGGGCTGGGGTGGGGGTGTCGCTCAGGTCCCACTGGGCCGCAGCTTGTATCTTACCCCCTTCATGAGGCACTGGGTTCTTGCAGGTGTGGATGTAGTCTGGATGTTGTCCTGTGTCTTCTGGTCTGTATTTCAGGGAGAGTTGCCTTTGTTGTATTTTCAAAAATATATGTGGTTTTGGGAGGATATTTCCGCTGCTCTACTCACACCGCTATCTTGGCTCCACCTCTCTTTAGGGTTTTTTATGTACAATATCATGTCATCTGCAAACAGGGACAATTTAGCTTCTTTTTCGCCAATTTGTATGCCTTTTATTTCTTTCTGTTGTCTGATTGCCGTGGCTAGGACCTCCAGAATTATGTTGGATAAAAATAGGGAGAGTGGGCATCCTCGTCTTGTTCCTGATCTGAAAGGAAAAGCTTTTAGCTTCTCACTGTTGAAGTATGATGTTGGTTGTTGGTCTGTCATATATGGCCTTTACTGTGTTGAGGTACTTGCCCTCTATACCCATTTTGTTGAGTTTTTATCTTGAAAGGATGTTGAATTTTGTCAAATGCTTTTTCAGCATCTATGGAGATGATCTTGTGGTTTTTTTCCTTCTTTTTGTTGATGTGGTGGATGATGTTGATGGATTTTTGAATGTTGTACCATCCCTGCGTCCCTGGAATAAATCCTACTTGATCATGGTGGATGATATTTCGATGTATTTTTGAATTTGGTTTGCTAATATTATGTTGATTATTTTTGTATCTATATTTATCAGAGATAATGGTCTGTAATTTTCTATTTTTGTGATGTCTTTGCCTGGTTTTGGTATTACAGTGATGCTGGCTTCATTGAATGAGTTTGGGAGTGTTCCCTCCTCTTCTACTTTTGGAAAACTTTAAAGAGGATGGGTATTAGGTCTTCACTAAATGTTTGATGAAATTCAGCAGTGAAACCATCTGGTTCAGGGGTTTTTTGTTCTTAGGTAGTTTTTTTGTTATACAGCTCATTATCTTTTAGAGAGATTTTAAAATAAAACAGAATATTTATCTATAAATTTACCATTTCCTGTGTTCTTCACCCCTGTGTGTAGGCCACAATTCCCTCAGCTCTCCTATGTCTGAATATGTCTTTATTTTGCCTGTGGTTCTGAAAGACATCTTCCCTGGTACAGAATTCTAGGTGGACCATTTTTTTTTCTTTTAGGTCCTTACAGATGTTCCTCCACTGTCTTCCAGCTGGTACTGTTTCTGATGCAAAGTCTGCTTTTATTCTCATCTGTCTTTTTCTCTGGTTACTTTTAAGATTTTCTTTTTATCATTGGTTTCAAAGCAGTTTGATGAGGAATACCTTGAATAACTTTCTTCATAGTTCTTATGGGGTTTAATTTGGGTGTGTGGGTTTATAATTTCCCATCAAATTTGGAAAATGACTGGTCTTTATTACCTACAATAGTTCTGTACCTCCCTAGTCCTTTGGGAACTGGACGTGGACATATATTCATTTGCTTGAGGTCTCTCCGCAGTTCTGGCATGTTCTGTCCATGTGGTCATTAGTCTCAGGGGTCTGGGTGCTTCATTTCCAATGATTTCTATCTATGGCTATGCTTTCAAGCCCACTAACCTTGCTCTGCAAGGTCCGATGTGATACCCTTTGTGGTGCAGTTTTCATTTTTAAAAGTTCAATTTGGATCTCTAAGTATCTCTCCCCTGCCTTCTTGGACAGATGGACTGTGGTCACAGTAACTGTGGGTGACCTACTCAGTGATTAGGTCAGCAGAGCCACATCTGGGTCCGTTTCAGCAGATCGATTTTATCATCATCACATGTCAACTGCTTGCTTCATTGTGTGCCTACGTAGTTTTTGTCAGATTCCTGGGCACTCACTGGGTGCTCTGGGACATGGTGAAGTTTTTGGACACACTGCGATCCTTCCAGAAAGGTTTTTCAGTTTTGCTCAAGAGAACCAGAGCAACTGTCCGTCTGGAGCAAGCTGCTCCCTCTGCCAGGCAATGCCCTCTGAGTACCTGCCTGCCTCTGCCAATGCAGATCCCCTGTGATGGGCAGGCACACACTGCTCAGGTTCCTCAGCACCCTTTCTCCGCCGAATAGTGCACTTCAGGACTCGGGTGGAGCCTCCAGGTCTCTGGAAGGCCCTCCCTGGGCAGCTCTCTCCCCCTCTGCTTTTTCCCTGCCAACTCCTGACCCACCCCCCAACCCCTGACCCACCCCCCAACCCCTGGGCCTACGTGAGAGCAATCACAGGGTTCACCTCAGATTCTTCTTCTGCTCAGGGACCTCTGTTCTGTGCTGCTCCATGGGTAATGTTTGAAAAATGCTGTTTCATTATTTTGTCCTAATTTTGAGGAGTTTCAGGTTGGGGTCTCTGTTACTCCACATTGGCTGGCCGCATAAGTCGAATTTGGTAATTTTGTTACAAACTGGTATAATGTCTGGTATGTTCTCTAGGAGGTGACTGTAAATTACCTTCCAGCCTCTCTGGGAGTCATTCCTCATGGGCCAGTCAGGTTATTAAGTTGTCCACCTGGCAGGAATGTGGCAATGCAGGAAGGGTGACCCCTACAAAGACTGTTCATATTCTTGGCCTTCAGGTGGTACACTGTGGCAGATGGTCAAAATAGGTCAGTGAGTGACAACTGTACTGTGGCAAGTACCCAGGGTTGTAACCGTCATAGGTTCCCACTGAGAGAAGCCCCAGTATTTGGCTGGACTGATCACCGCCCCCATTCCTACAGATTTGGATGGTGGGCACTGGGGCTCAGGAAGGGCCACTTCACTCTCTGCACGTTTCCCATTCAGATGCCCTTGGGATTCCCACAACTCGCCATGGGATTTGAAGCAGTCCTGTACCACAGTAGCATTGATACCAGTGTGTCCCTCGTCTCACATGGAAGGACTGAGTCTGGTGTGTGGACGGCTTCTTGGCTCTTTTCAAAGGCCTGAGACTGCTGGGTGGCCAGAGTCTGGGGTCACTCTGGCCGTTTGAGCCTCCTTTGCAATTTGGCCTTTTCATTTCTGTATGTAGTTACCATTCCTGCTTGTCATCACCAGCCATCACTACTTCGCCTTCTGAGCTATAATGAAGTTGTCTTGGGATGGACATGGATGGTCAAGGCAGGCCTGTCAGGAGTAGGACAGATTTCATCACTGAGCAAGCCTGCCACTTTGGTAATGATCCTGGGTTGTTAGGGTCCCTGGGTTTTTACCCTGTTGTGTGGCAAGGGCATGCCATCTCAGAGCATGGACGGGGAGGGAGCCTGTGTGAAGCCATAAGCCTAGGATGAGCGCTCCCTGCACAAAGCTTCCTTGGCAGGACACACCGAGGCCAGAGTATGCTGCTAGCTGCAGTCTTCAACCAGCGCCTGCAATCACCTTGCACAGAGTTTCCCTTCAATTGTCCTTGCTACCTGACTAAGGGCCTGGCCCAGCCTGGCTGACCACAGTGCTGTGACCACACTTAATCTGCATCATCAAGAGTAGGATTCATTTCTCAAATATGTTTTCAGCTCTGCTCCTCCTGAGACCAGCTGATTTAATAAGAGTTTATCTCCATCCTTCTTATGTCTTTATATAACTGACACTAGTTTTGTTTTTATGTATCATGCCCCTCCTCCTGAAAAAGAAAATTATAAAGATAGAAAATAAAAGAACCAAACAGAAGTGTGGAAAATGGGTGTGAATAATGTTTGTCACAGACGAGCAGGCAGACAGGTGGACAGCAATCTCCTGCACAATTTCTGAAAATCTACTGCACAGTGGTCCAGAGATGTGTTGGCACCATGGCCCAAGGCCAAGTCTGACCCACTGCCTGTCTTACTGGCACATGGCCACACACATTTGTTAACACACTGCCTGCTTTTGTGCCACAAGGGTTGAGTCGTGTAGTTATGTCAAAGACTGTATGGCTAAAATATTTACTATCTGGTCCTTAATAGAATGTGTGCCCATGCCTGATTTAGAGATTAAGATAAGATACTAAAAGTTCTTTGAATCTGATAGAAAAACTATAAATTCTGATTTGGCAGTAATACTGTAGCCTATGGTCCACACATCGTATGTGTTATGTCCCAAAGATTCTGCAGAGACATACAAGCAAAAACAGGCCAATTTTCAGAGGTAAAAGTTCAGTCACCACTAATTCCAAAACTGTTTCATTCCCATTCTAGGAATTGTATGGTGAAAAAAGCAAGCATGAAGTTGGCAAGCTTGTTTTGTTTTCTGCTTATCATTTTTCAAATTGACTTTGGACAAAATGAAGACACTCCCAGGAAGCAGAGGAAGATGCATCACCACAGATGGCAGAGAGGCTCTACGCCCAGCCATAGTCCCAGCAGACAGCTTGGACTTCGGCAGTCAGGGACAGCCACACCAATAGCAGCACAGCCCGTGGTGACTGTGGGTCACAGTGTGGAGGAAAAGTTTGAATCCTTGTTGAGTGTTCTTGGAGTAGAATCAAGCTATAATGTGCTACCAGGTAAGATAACAGTAAGAGAGTGTGCAAGAGTGAGAACACCTCTGTGAAGATAATTTCTCCCTAAATTCAAGTTATTAAATTATCTTTTGGTTTAATCTATTGTTAAGTCCAGGGAAAGGACATCCCGGGGCAAAATACCTATAAAAACCGAAATCAGTCAAAGGGAGAAATAAAGTCTAAAATCCGTTTATTGCTTACAAACTGCAGACCGGCCCATCTCTCTCTCTCCTGCTCCAGCAGCAGCAAACCTGGCCCTCCCCTCACCTCAGGTAAGGACAAGCCTCCTTGCCCAGGTAATGTCCCACTGATATGGAGATGCACTTCTCTCCACCCCTGAGGATATGCAAATGCACTAAAGCCATACTCCTTTCCACCTCTGAATGCCTACTGATATGCAGATGTACTAAAGCCAGGCGAGATATTCTGGAAATGTGATAATTTTTCCCACATCTACAAAGATGAATTTTGAAGTAATTTAAAATTCATTTACAAAATGTACTGACAATACAAAATTATTGGAAAGCAAAAAAATAATTAGCTATCCTATAATTATATTTATAAAACCATAATTCCTATTTTGGTTTATTTATTTCTAGTCTATTTATTATGCCATGTATTTTATACATAATAATCATAATATAGATAATATACATACAAACTTGTGAACTGTTTTCATTTATAGACCATCTAGTATGTAAAAAATATTCAGATAATGCTGTGAAGATGTGGCTATTAAATATTTTCAACCAAAAATAAGGGGAGGCCACTGAATATATAAACTAAATTACTGAATTTTAAAGGCATTTAAAAAAAATTAGTACTTTAATGGTCCACATTTTTCCAAGTTTAGAAGAAAAAAGTAATTATATTACACATTTGTTACCATTACATAAAATTTTCAGAGAAAAAAAATCATCATATAATATTCTGTTGCCAATACTTCATAGTCTCAAGAAAACCAAATGGTTTTAAATGATGTTACTTCCATAAATTTAACAGAAATAATATACAATTACCATGAATATAAACAATTTAGGCCACATTATAGCATGATCAGGGAAGAAAGATTCTGGAGGCAGGGAAATCGACTAAAAAAATATAATAATAGCGTATCCATAACTGCTCAAGAACGATGGGGGCAATTTCCCTGGCTAAGTGGAAAGGTATTCGGAGTTATAATTATAGAAAATTAAAAGGTTAAAATGTAGTATGCATAAAGTGATCTCAAATGTTTTAAAAATATGTAATATAGGGTCATATGCATAAAAAGTATAGAAGATGTGTACTAAACATTTCTCAATTGTCCTAAAATGTTTTCCAGTGGTTTTGTAGTACCTTTTTAAAAACTATGATAAAACACACATAAAACCTATCATTTTAACCATACATAGTGAGAAATTACCCCATTTCACCCTCCCCCAACCCGAGGCGATCACTGTTCTTACTCTGAATTTGCCTCGCCTAGATATTTCATATACAAGGAGTCATGTATTATGAGGCTTTTGTGTCTGGCTTCTTTCCCTTGGCATCAGGCCTTCAAGGCTCACCCATGCTGCAGGGTGTGTCAGTGCTTCCTTCCTTTTTTTTTTTTTGAGAGGGCATCTCTCATATTTATTGATCAAATGGTTGTTAACAACAATAAAATTCTGTATAGGGGAGTCAATGCTCAAAGCACAATCATTAATCCACCCCCAGCCTAATTCTCATCAGTCTCCAATCTTCCGAAGCATAACGAACAAGTTCTTACATGGTGAACAGTACAAGGGCAGTCATCACAAAAACTTTCGGTTTTGATCACTCATTATGAACTATAAACAATCAGGTCAAATATGAATATTCATATGATTTTTATACTTGATTTATATGTGAATCCCACATTTCTCCCTTTATTATTACTATTATTTTTTTTTTAAATAAAATGCTGAAGTGGTAGGTAGATGCAAGATAAAGGTAGAAAACATAGTTTAGTGTTGTAGGAGAGCAAATGTAGATGATCAGGTGTGTGCCTGTAGACTATGTGTTAATCCAAGTGCTTCCTCCCTTTTAAGGCTGAAATATTCCATTGTGTGGTAGACCAGTTCATTTATTTATCCATTCATCTGCTGATGGACATTTGGGTTGTTTCTACATTTTGGCTGTTGTGTTCAAATTTCTGTTTAAATTCCTGTTTCAATTCTCTTGGATATGGCACCTAAAGGTGGAATACAGGGTATCTAGAAACTGGTCCATATGCTATTTCTATGTTTAATCTAATGAGAAGCCACCATGTTTTCCACAGAGGCCACACTATTTTATATTACCACCAACAAAGTACAAAGATTCCAATTTCTCCACATCATTGCCATTACATGTTATTTTCTATTTAAGAAAAAACAGAGCCACTCTCACGGATGTGAACTGGTACCTACCTTACTGTGGTTTAATTTGCATCTGCCTAATGACTAATGAAGTTGAGCATTCTTTTATGTGTTGTCCATTATACATATTCTCTGGAAAAATGTCTATTCACATCCTTTGCCCATTTTTAATAAGTTGGTTGTTTAATGGGTTGTCTGTTGACTTTTAGGAGTTCATTATGTATATTCTGGATATTAAACCCTTATCATATATGATTTACAAATATTTTCTCCCATTGTTTACAGTCCTTTCACTTTCTTGACAATTTCCTTTGATGCATCAGATTTTTAATTTTGATGAAGCCTACCTACTTTTTCTCTTGTCGCTTGTACTTTCACGAGTCATATCTAAAAAGCCACTGCCAAATATAAGTTGTGGAGGTTTACACCTATTTTCTTCTATGAATAGTATAGTTTTAGCTCTTATACTTAGGTTTCTGATACATTTTCAGTTAATTTTTATATTTGGTATAAGGCTGGGATCCGATTTTTTCCCCTGAGTGTGGATGTCTGGTTGTTCCAGCACCGTTTGTTGAAGAGACTGTTTTTTTCTCCATCAAATGGTCTTGGCACCCTTGTTGAAGATCAATTGGCCATAGATGTGTGGGTTTATTTCTGGGCTTTCAATATTCCATTGGTTTGTATGTCTATCCTTATGCCAGTAACACTGGCAAAAAAAAATGAGTAATGTTGTTCTTTTTTCCTCCCACAACTGTTTTGGATATTCAGGGCCCCCTTTATAGACTTTAGTACTTTCATACTTGGGCAAAACCTCATACACACCTATTTTTTCCTGGGGTTAGAACTGGGTGGGTGTGACTGGCCTCCTGCAAGTATCCCCATAAGAGGGGTTGGGCATGAATCGGGACAGTGGGGGCAAATGTGAGTGCTCACTTTGGGGTAGGGTGAGGGTCAGAGCCCACCAGATGGAGGAGAGTTATCAGGAATGATACTAGGTCAGAGGAAAAACATCCCCTTATTATTCAGATCAAAGCAGCTTACTTAGTCAACACACTTATTCACATACCTACAACCCTGTATGTACTAAACATACTAAAATCCAATGGAATGAATATACTAAATGCACTGTCTCACTGAGGCTACCATCTGCCCCTACTTCCATGAGGATCGGTGGGGTGTGGGCTTAGCACAGGCATATTCCAGCCCTCTGCTCTCTGCAAGGGATGGAACCAGACAGCCTCGCCTCTGCTGCCATTAGGCGTGGCCGTGTAACTCACTTTGGACAGTGTAACTGGACATTTTAGGGTCCCCACTGCTCTGGCAACAGGGCAGCCTGCCTGGAGTTGAAGCTGGTTGCTTCACTGAGTGGCTCTCTTGAGTAGAGCCCATAGACCCCTGGACACGTGGCACAAACAAGAAATAACAGACTTTGGGGCTGTCATTTGCTGCCATATGACTTAGCCATCCTGACAGACACAGGACGGAGGTACAGTCCACTCAGAGCAAAAGTTGGAGGCTGAGTGCAGAGTATGAGGAGAGCATTGCGGAGGTCTGCACATGGACACACGTGCACCCCATTCCCGTGTGGTTCGGTCAGCCAGACTTTGCGCTGTGCTTGCTTGTACTGGCAGGTGCTGGTGGCCATTGGGAACATAAATATGTCACTGTTCTCTCCTAGGGAGAAAGGGGCACTGTGTGGTAAATGGGATGGCCATGCACAACACAGCCGTGTGGTCCCCTGGGCCCTGCACTACCTGCCTCTGCTATGGTGGAAGAGTGCTCTGCGATGAGGCCGTGTGCCCCTCACGGGCATGCCCCCAAACACGCATACCTGATGGAGAATGCTGCCCAGTCTGCTTTGACTCAGGTATAAATATTTAGAAACAAAAGAGCATGTGTGTGATTGTCTTGAACTTCCATTTGTTTTTATTTTGTCATGACCTTAACTTTCAAATGATAAGCCAGTCATCAAAGTACTTAAGATATTGGCACAGTAATGATAAACATGGCAATTATTTGGGAAACGTATGGGAGAGGACAAAAATAAGAGATCTTGACTTTACACTTTAGCCCTATCAGACTGAGTAAACTTGGAGCGGATCACAGCCCACACTTGACTCTCCACTTCAGAGATGCAGCAGCAGGGTCCACACAAGCCCACAGCTCCAAGTGCTCGGCTGGAAGTGAAGAGTGAAGCTCTGCTTAGTTCCCACTTACTCCAATGCTGAGTGGGCACAGCTACCATCCCAAAGGGAGGGGAAGAACCTTGGTGCATGAAGGGAGGAGTGGTTTGTGTTTGGACAGCAAAACTACCCCCTCATCTCATGAGGCTCGTGCCTGAGGGAGGAGCCAACCTTAGGAGGGAGTCCGGGGGTTCTTCCACCAAGAGCCTGGCCAATGCCATGCGAAATAAATGAGGGGAGAAGGGTTAAGTGATTTTACAGGAAGGGATGGGGATATTTTCTTTGGTCTATGATCAAGTTAGGTTATTTTGTGCAAATGGGGATCATAGGATAAGTGTCTACAAGTCTCCTGCCAGGAAGAACTTTAGAATACTGAGGGATTTTATTTTGGTTTATACTACCAGCTATTTTACCAAGTATTATGTCTTTAAATTATGTTAGAAAATAAAAGTATTTAATGAAACTGACTTGGGGATGAAACAAGGTTTATACAGGAAGATGCAGAAGTTTTCAGACATTTGTCAAAAGACTTGAAATATTCTTGAAATGCTGTGGTTATTTTGGAATACTAACCTTGGATAAATAGGAGGACTAAATATGTCAATAGAATAGCTTTAGTTTCCTTTGGCTAATTTGTTCCTATTTTCCTTTTGCATGTTCTGCTGGAGATGTGAAAAAAATAGCTCACAGACTTTACAATATATACTGAACTGAAATTTCAAGTAATGACTTTAAATATATTTTCTGAGTCCTTTTGGAGTGATTTACATAGTAAAATAAAAGCAGGACAGTGACTGAGTGAGTTCCTGGGCCTGTGAGCTCCCTCCTCCGAGGCTGATCATTTGGAGCGAGTCCCCGCCAGGACCCCCGACTCCCTCCTGAGGCAGGACAGCACAGGGGACAGGCCTCTGGGGGTCCCTGTCCCCCTCCTGCCATCAGAGACATGCCTGGGTTAGGACAGCTTCCATATCTCAAGCTGTTACAGTGAGAGTCTGGGAGGGAAAAGGTAACTCTCTACAGTTCTCAATTTTAGAGAATGCTTTTTTAGGGACCCACAGAACTGAAAGAAAATTGGACAAAAATAATGAATCTATAAACAAAAGTTGGTTTCATTACCATAAGCAGTTAAAATACATTTCACTTCCTTATGTCTGACGGTCTACAAATTCTTACATTATCAATAACCCCAATTAGCTAAACAAAACTGCTTATAAAGGTCACATCTGATTGCACTGCAAGCCCACACAGGACTTCTCACCATTCTGCAGCACATGCAATATTATTCCCTCTTGAGTCACTGGGCAGCATGACACTCGGGGTAAAATAAATCCTAAAGCCCATGGGCAAAACTAAATTGCCTATAACAGATCTTAAAAAATGGAAATTATGCTACTATTAAAACCATTTGAGCAAAAATTTCAACCCGCACTCAAATACCTGGAGGGAATAATACTTGCTAAGCCGGTTTCCCCAGTGACTTTTCCTTTATTAACATCACTCCTGCCCTGCTGTACCTCATCATGTGCTCTGTGGCCTCCTACTCACTACTTGGCAGTGGAGCACCTCATGACACAACTGAGCTTTCTCGTGATTCTTCAGAACCAAGAGAACCATCCAGTGTGCAGCATGCACCACCGCCACCCCTTCAGGAGGAGAGGGACCACACGGGCAGCAAAGAGGGGCTTGGACTGCAGGAGGAGGAAACCAGAGAGGACGCAGATGGGGGCAGCCTTCCTGACACAAGGCGGTACAGACAAGGTGGGCAGCAGAGCCCTGGAGAGGAGGGGAGGCATGCCGGCCGACACAGAGGTCCAGCCAGGGAGCAGGTCAAGGGCGAGGAGCAGGACGACGAGGACGACGAGGACGAGGATGAGGAGCGGACTGTTAGAGGGAACACGTTCCTGCCACCCTCGTGGCACCCAGGCCCTGCCCTGCCCCAAGCCATGCCCCGTCTACCCAGCAGCTGCTCCCTGTCTTATAGGACCATCAGCTGCATCAGTGCCCACCTCACACACATCCCGCCACTCATGGCACCACAGATTACAAGTCTGGAGCTCATTGGTAAGAGATGTTCACATGTTGGTTTTATCTTGTGATTTAAAAGTAAAGAGCCCTCACTGCCCATGAAGGTTACATTTTAATTTCATAATATAAACTGGGCCCTGGTAGACTAATTTCACAATCTTCAAAATATAAATAAACTTTGCAGAAGAGACATGTGTTTACTGCAGAACAACAATTAGGTACAAGGCAATTGTCTCCAAATCAGATCATGGCTCCCAAGGACTTTTCCCTAAAGTCAGCCGTGCTGAGTACGACTCACACACAGTCAAGCATACTTTCAGCATACTCCCGAGCCCTGACCCATGTATGTGGTTGTGTCAGCACTGCAGTTGAGGCCTGGCACATTCACCACTTCCAGGATTCCCTTGCGCCCCTGCTCTCACAGACTGGCCACCAGTCTCCCATCTCCAGTGTTGCCTTTCCCAGGGTATCACGGAAATGGAGCCACACAGTACAGCCTTCCATTAGGCTTGCCTCTGGGTGCTGCACAGCAGTAGCTTGCCCCCCCCCTACCACTAATTGCCATGCCACTTTTTGGAAAGATCACAGGTACTACCAAGGGTGTCTGGGTCACTTCCAGTTTGGGGTGACCCTGCACACGTCTACCATAAATATTCAAAGCCAGAGGTTGTGTGGGCCCAGGTTTCCTTTTCCCAGGGGAACACCCAGGACTCGGGCTTCTGGGTGACAGGTAAAACACCCATGTTTGACTTTGTAGGAAACGACCAGCCAGCTCCCTGCAGCAGCTGGAACATTCTTGCTGCTCTGCACTGTCAGCTGTCCCCTTCTTTAGCCATTCTGGGGGCCTTGCACGGCCCAGTCCTCCTGCCCATGCTCCTACAGTGCCAAAGGGAGGATTCTGGAGGAATGGTGGGATGAGGTGTGTGTGAGGCTGGTGGTGGGCTGACTGGGCCAGTGGATAACCTCGGGTATCTGTCTGGGGACAAAGCCCATGCGGGGTGGCCCTGACCATGCACGGGTGAGAGCATCAGAATGGGGCTCCAGATGTGTCTTGGGGGAAATCACAGCAATAAACTACCTCAGAAATAATGACCATATAAATAATAATCAGTGGACATGGTCTGACACCTTTGTTCAGGATGGTCAGTCTGAGGTAGGACTTGGCCAGGGCGATGGCTTTCCCAGCACCACATTGGAGGCCTCCTAAGGAAGTCCTTGCATGTCTGAGACCCCTGCTCCAGCAACATCCTCCTCACACAGCCTGCATGCCATGTGTGATCTGCTGTGAGAAAACCCAATGAATGAAAGGTCTTAGAACCTGTGTTCAGTGACATAGTCTTGGTTTTATAAGGCCACCATGTGGTTTTTGCATCACTATTTCTACTACGTTCATTTTCTGGGTTTAAAATCAACTGCGGTACTTAGCTAAATGTCAAAACAAAATCCCATAAATTTAAGGCATGTAGGAAATTCTGTAGATTGAAATTGTTGAATTATAACAGTAGACCTGGAGGTGAGCTGAGACATTATCCCCCAGATTATTCAAAGGAGACTGATGCTCAGAGACATGAGCCCCAGAAGCACTGATACAACAGCACCACATTTCTGGTCCAGGGTAGAGAGTGTGTCAGTGGGAAAATATGAAGGACTACAAAAATCAGCTTCTACATAACCTTCAGAAACACCTTTGTGGTGAGATACCCCATGAGTACAGAACTGTTGAGTGAATCACAATCTGGCTATTTCAGCAGCCACATCTCAAGCATGATATTCTGGAGCAGGCAAGTCCTGGGTGGAGGTGACTGTGAAACAGCCTCGTGCAGGCTGTTATTCTTCCAAACATGCATTTGCTTATTATCTAATGAACATGCCATCCTAGATAGGAGCAGTGCTCTCCCAGGTAAAGGTCTCTTCTGCTGTGCACACATGTGCATGCATGTGCACACACATGCACATGTGCAAACATGCAACAGGCCTAAAGTACAACTACTCTGTGTCCTAGGCAATCCCATCACCTCTGTTCCAGATGAAGCATTTAATGGGTTGCCGAATTTGGAAAGGCTTGATCTCAGCAAAAATAACATCACCTCTGCAGGCATGGGTCCAAAAGCTTTCAAGGTAAACACATGCTCTAGTTGGTGAGTAGCAGGTGTCCACCTGGACGGTTTTCCCCATTTGTACCCACAACAGGGGTGGGGGGTGGATGTGTGACTCGTTTCCTCCTCAGTTAAGAGTATCTGACATATTTCTAGCTGGTCCTCTTATGCTTCACCTTAGCGTACTGACAACAGCATCCATGTTTTTCATTCAAGGAGTGGTTTCTCCCCAAGTAGCTGAAAACATGTGGAAAATTGGTCTCTCAGCACATGAGGTATTTCTGGGAATAAGGGAGAGGTTATCTGGAAACTCAATTAACATTTTTGGGCCAGCAAGACAGACCTTCCTTACTCTGTGCTAGGAGCAGACTCTGCAGGAGGAGGGGCTCAGCAACAGCAAAGGGGCTCAGATGACAATCAGCATGGGGCAGGTCGGGGAAAGGAGAGGGAAAATGAGACGACAGGAAATGGCTCAGAATAAACCTCTGAGATGCTCAGATTTGACTAACATTTTTTCAGAAAAGAAGAAAACAGAGGATCAAAGAACTTCAGAGAAACAAAGGTAGAAGCAATAAAGGAGGGCCTGTGTGCTAACACACCTTCAGAAATGTGTGTGGGCTTTGCAAAGTGCAGCACTACAAGGTCAGGCTTCACGCCCTCCACGACTCTGCCCCCTGGGCACAGACCATGGGCCTTGGCACCCTCATTCCCAGCTCTGCAGGTGTCTCTGTGTCCTTCCCACCAGGCCCAAGGCTGGCTTCACCCTTGCCATCCTTGAACATGGCAGCCAGACTCATGCATTTCTCATACTGATCAAAAAGGAAAATACTGCACAAATTCACCTCCTTTTCCTGTTGTGGGGTTCTCTGTCCCATTCCCAAACTGCTGACGTTTGACTCTGTGCGTGGCTGACATGCTCCACTCCACTCAGGGCATTGGGCTTGTCAGGCCAAAGAGCACAGAACCCAGACATGAAAACGCACATGCAGACAGTCGAGGTCTCTGGGGTACATACAGGAGCCATGTGTGATGCTCAGCATGTCATCCTGAAGAATTTTCACAATAATCACTGCTATTTTATGAGTGTTTCCATTAGTGCAGATAGAAAACCGAGGCTTACAAATACACTAAAAGGATTCAGACTGCTGCCCTACTCACACCCCTTACAGATTCAGATCACTGCATGGTTTAATTAAACTAGTACCTACTGCTGAGAAGATGAAAACCTAAGACCTAGAAAAATATGACTGGTCTAGAGTGATAAGAGCTTTCTCTTGCTTACAAAAACCACAGGGTAAGTGTGGGTAGGTGGGGTACAAAACCCAGCAAATGCCATTTGGTGAAAACACCTGGGAAGAACTCTATGGGCAGATCAACAACCACCTGGCAAGAAGGGTGTGGGGTGCTGTCTAAACCAGAGCTGGTGGGGATGGTTGGGATACTAGAAACTACTGCCTTCTGACCAGACATAAAAGTAACTCTGAGATTTGCCTTTTAAGCTTCTGAACAAGTTAATGCGCCTGAACTTGGATGGGAACAAGTTGGTAGAGATTCCTTCCAAACTGCCATCAACGTTAGAGGAACTGAAAATCAATGAGAACAACCTTCAGGCTATCGATGAAGAACGCTTGTCAGGTATCAGCACGGGCTCTATGCCCCGTCCTTATAACCTTCATGTGCAAAATTTCATTGCAACCAAATGAGTAACCTACAGGATTAGGCACCTTACCATTTAAGGTGATAAAACTTATTTTAACTAGTGAAACTTTTAAAAACTATCTTGAACTACCCTGGTCTTTAAAAAGTACTCTAACTACAAATAAGCCTTTGAGCCATTTTAGGCTCTCATCCTTCCCTAGTCAGTGACCCGAGAGCAGGTCTGAGACACCCCGGGTGTGGTGCTGCAGGGCTCTCAGCACACCTCGCCCACAACTCCCGCTCCTCCACGTGCCCTGACATTTTCATTTGTCACGTGTTGATGTGTAGCTTAGATGAGAACTCCGTGTAAGGTGAGTAAGTGGGCACTCCAGGCTGAGGGCGACCCTGCAGTCACAGCATGTGCACGTCATCGTCACCACCATGGCCCTAACAGTCCTGCTCCCGAGATGGTGGCTGTGGTGGTTCTGCCACCTGGGTGTCAAAGGCACATGGGCCCCACAGGGCCAGGGGATGATATGCCTCGGGGGTGTGGCTGCTGCGGAGGCTTGGAGGGGGCGCCAGATGACCAATAGGCGGTTTCTGCTCCGAGCTGGCTGACTCACACTGTCATGTTGTGAACCCGGATAAAATATTCAGTGTTACAGCTAGCCTTTCACAAACTCTAGCTGGCCTTTCACTAGATTTTATGCTTCTATAAGACAAAACTGCCAGATTTTTCTCTGTATCTTCAAGCTTAGCATAGCTCTTGAGGTATATCGGGCTCAATACACTTTTTACTTATTTGAAATATATTTATTATGTTAATGTGGACAACAAAGCCTTTAAAAAGATGAAACAGTTATTTCCTTTCACTCCCAAAACTTCACAGAACAAAACCCTTGTGGTGCTGGGAGAAGCAACAGGAATGAGAAGTGGCCAATCTGAGGGTTAGAGTTATAGTGACGCTTTTCCAGACTGGTTTCAGGACACAAGTGAAAGATATTAATTAATAAAAATCACGATGGGCTATGACATATGGAAAAGACTTAAAAGCCCAGTTTCTAACTGCCAGGTGAACAGAGGCCAAAGGAGCACCTAATTTAGATCAAGTGCACTAATGGTGAGGGCACGTCACAGCTGTTACCAAAACAATATGATAGGAGGACGTCTCCCAGTCCTGCGCCTGCCCCCTGCTCACTCCCCTCCCGGCTCTGTGCTCCATCACAGGGAGGCCTGGCCAGTGAGGGGGCTCCCTGCAGTCCCCTTGTCCAGATAGCCCTGCACTGTGGGCTCCTCTGCTGTTCAGGCTGGGCTCTGAGTCCTCTTGCCTCTGGCTTCTCGGCTCTCCCCACCCCCAAAAGCAAGAACTTCCTACCAACATCCTGCTTAATAAACCCTCTTTCTACCCCAGGTCTAACTGCAGGCACCTTATCTAATACTGCCCTGGCTCCCGTTACATACACACCATACACTTTTTCCTATACACGCAAGCACTCATAAACCAGAGAGTAACTGTAACATGACACACAGCATCTATCTGCATTGCATGTATGTCTCTGTCTTCTGGGAGGTCATGTAATGACCATTAGTCTACTTCTATTATCTGTTTTCACTGGAAATCTACTAAGTCCCCCAAACCTCAACTGTGTATTAGATAAATAAGCTGGATTCTCAGATTCTCTAGCTTTGGAAACTGAAGAGAGGGCAGAAAGCATACCAATGAACCACAGCTTACTGTTCGGCCTCTCTAATACTGTCTCTCAGCCCTTCAAGGGCTCCTAAACACAACCACCAGAGAATGTTCTGTCATGCTGTCCGCTGCCCAGGGACTCCTGGCTGCTGAGGGGAAGCCAGACCTTGCCCATGCACAGAGGCCGGCACAGCCCTCCTCCACCCCAGCCCTCACCTGCTTGCAATGGGCCTCTGTCCCACATCTGGGCACCTGGGTCCTCACCTGGGTGTGTGCCCCCCGGCTGCCTTTGCCCACATCTCCCTTCCTAACAGCTGGCCCTGCTAGGTCTACACTGCCACCCTACAGTGCCTCTGAGGGTGCTGAGCTGTGCAGGGTGCTCAGCAGGCCCAACGACTTGAAATGAGGAGCGTATTATCTCTGTTCTGGGATTTTGGCCACTGAGCAAAGTCCAAAGTCACATCCTGAGTGTCTGACTCAGGCACCTCTGTGAATCATCATTGCTGGGCCACCCGCCCTTAAGCTTTCAGCTGATACAGACCATTCCACTCCTGAGGCCAGGAGAGACATTTAGAAGAAAACTTGTTAGTATAAAAGCCTTTCTTGGTAGCTCAAGCTGAATGTGTGGAGAATTTTTTAATTCTCCTTTCAAAATGTCCATCTCCTTGCATTCTCTGCCAGGAAGAGAACAACAGCAATGGGAATTCTCTGCTGCAACCCCCTAGTTCAGAGAGAGGTTTGCCAGGCAGAGTGCTCTGTGTCCTAGAAAAAGGACTCACTCATGCATTACACTCCCCCATCCATCCCCGAAACCTGCCACCCCACACCGAGCTGGCTGCACAGAAAGACCTTCCACAACCTGCTACACCCACTCCCCACCCCAGGTCCAAGACCCTGCCTGGCCACCGCTGCCTCTGCGGTACACCCCGGCTCTCATTCCTGCCCTGCTCTTCCCTCCCCCTCTTCAGCCTCTTCCTTAGTCAATTTCCATCACACGCCACCACGATAGTGACTCCCTGTAGGCCCAGAGCCCCCACCAGAACACGCACTCAGCATGCAGTGCAGGCTGAGCTGAACATTATGGGTTGAGTTTTGGAGAAAGGCTGTATATGGGGATACAGATACAGAAGCTATGGCATCTGCCCTCCAAACTTAACATTTCACATTTGTAAAGATTATAGAAACTGCATGGATTTTCAGTTATCCTAATATCCTGATAATTTTATTTTTTTATAGACTTAAATCAATTGGTCACCTTAGAACTGGAAGGAAACAGCCTGAGTGAGGCCAATGTCAATCCTTTAGCTTTCAAACCTTTAAAGAGCCTAGCCTACCTGCGTCTGGGAAGAAATAAATTTAGAATTATACCACAGGGTCTTCCTGCTTCAACTGAGGTACTAATAACTTTCTTCTCATGTTTTACAGTTTAACTGCAGTATACTACAACAAAATAAAGTAAGATTCTAAGATGCATACTGAACTCAGTTTTGGTGTTGTTTACAGAATTTACTATCATTTGAGCATTACTTTCTCTTAATACTATGAGTCAAAGTTATAATTACTAGCAGAGACCCTCAATAAGGTGAAAGTTGGTCCTGCTAACAGCTCCTAGGGAGAGAATGGGGAAGATGAACTGAGGTATGAAAAGAACCTACAACTTGCAAAAACTGCTCTGAATTGTGCAGTGCCTAAAGCCCTGAGCTTCCCAGCTCCTACCAGAGGCCATGCACTGTCCTGTCTTCAGCCACTGGAGACACTGCTGAAGCCCAGGTTTGTGCTGTCCCTTGCTGCAGCAAGGACACACTTCACTGAGGGGGTTCTAGGGGACCTCACTGCTGAGTGTGCACCCCAACTCTCTGCATGAAGAGTAGAGGTCTGGCAGTCCAGCTGTGGCCCAGGGGGCTTCCTCTGAGCTCTGTTTCTGCCATACATGGCCACTCAGCAAGAAGTCAGGACACAGCTTCCCAGCTGTGGACCCAACCAAGCCAGAAGAGAGGGACTTAGGCCTCAATCTGCTTCTGCCACAGCCACCCATCCTCCTCCTCTATCTGCAAATTAAGATATGACCTCAGAATTTATCAAAATCATAAAGATCAAGGTTGCAAATCCAGTGTTACATCAGAATCACTTGAACCCTAAAGAAATACAGACCCTTGACCCACCCCAGACATCCTAAATCAGGGTCTTTGGAAGGTGGAGTCAGCAAATTTTAAATGGACAGTGCACATGCACAGTAACACACACACAACTTGCATAATACAAAAGAGTGGTGTGTCTCCATTCCATGTCCAAACCCCCCTGTCCCTGGTTTCTCTTTCCAAGGGAACCCTCTCCCTGGCCTGGGAGATGCTATCCACACAGGTGTGTTCTGACTCCTCGTAAGGAGTGATTCTAATACACAGCCAAGTTTGGGTACCGCTGAGTAAATAACATACACAGGAAGGTAAAAGCCAAAAGCTAAAAATCACTTTACCCATTTCTAACAAATACTAAAATTAAGTGACAAAGAGGGGAAATGACTGCATTGGAATAGAAAGTTACACTGGAGGTACATAGCAATTCTGCTTGTGATTCCAACAGGATCTTAACTTGAAGGCAGCTAGCTGATGAAATCTGGCAGTAATTCTAGCAAACTTCACTCTTCTATCAATTCTAAACAAATAAAATATTTACAGACAGCATGGGCTTGGGAAGCAGGCAGAGCTAGCTGAAGCTGGGGCCCGGCGGGACCATCACTCCCAGGTGTTCACGTGAACCTGGGCCCATTTCCTCTCTATGCCTGGGCTTCCTATTACTAAATAGGGATGATAATTTCCACCTATTTTCCAGGGTTTTGAAGCCCAAATGAGATAATTTATGTAAATGAGTTTTGCAAATTGGAGTTTTATACAATTATTATGGAATGCTGTATTTTGTAACATTTTATGGTTAAAAAATAAATAAAATAATTTAATTCCATAACCATGATAGACAGCACATTTAACTTTTTTTAATTAGTAGGGAAACTTGACAACTTAAAAAAATGAACTCAGTTTGAAGAGCAGAAAAAGACTCCAGGTAATACTGATGAGAACAATCTGTAATGCCATTTTAGTCTCTGTGAAATTGAATATATTTATTCAACAAACAAGAAAATTAAGTTTTTTTTTATCTTAACTATAGGAATTATACCTAGAAAATAACAACATTGAAGAAATAACTGAAATCTGTTTCAACCATACCAGAAAGATCAGTATCATTGTACTACGCTATAATAAAATTGAAGAAAACAGGATTGCTCCTTTAGCCTGGATCAATCAAGAGTAGGTATTGGTATGACTTCTTCCTCTTGCCATTACTGAACAGGATGCAAACGTGGGAGATGAGATAGAGGGCACAACATCCCTTCTCAGTGATCCTTCCTTTCCTGAAACTCAGCTCCTTGTAGGGAGCTCAAGCTATCCATGGCCTGCCTGGTGTCACAGTGGCCGAGGTCATGGTCGGACGCCCTGCCGGCACAGTGCTGAGCCCGAGGTCTGACAAGTCCTTCCCACTCTGCCCCCCTCACAGGTCAAGTTTAAGTGAGCTACCTCCTTTTCCCAGGAGGGATGCTGTCCCCCCTGCAGGTGGAGCACCCAGCCTCACTGTTCTCACCACATCACCATCCCTCCATGCTGTTTCTCTACCTCAGTCTCACCAACTGCACGGTGTGTGGCTTAAGCATGGAGGCAGAGACAGGACCCATTGTCCTGGAGAGGGCTCAGTGGCCAGGCAGCTGCCACGGCCAAGGGCCAACCTGATGGAGGGGACAAGTAGTGTGGGAAGGCTAGCCCAGTCTGTAGTGAGGGAACGGGCCTGGGAGGCAGAGCGGGGTCAGGCATTCTTCAGAAGGAGGGCAGAGAGGAGAGGCCTTATCAGCAGGATGTGACCTGGCAGGGCAGTGGTCTTCATCAGAAGGCACAGGGGAGGCTCCTGAAACAAGCCAGGTAGCTCAGCACGTTTCCCAGACAACCTTTGCTAGATCCCTCCGTTTATCCAGAAGTGCTGGGGGTCAAGTCAGCAGATCAGTGGTGGAACAAGAATGAACAAACCCCACACACCACCACATCCTTGTTGGAACCAGAGATGGTGTTAGGGACAGGCAGGCAGATGCTGGCTAGGACTTGACGTCATTCCTGATCTAAGATTGGCCTTAGAGATGTTGGGGGTCTGCTCTGGGTTCACAGTTGCCCAAAGATACGAGTTTTCCCTCTGAACTCGAGCAGACAGATGGGGGCAGGCCCCAGGCCACCCCATTTGCACCAGCCTGTCAGCACTGGGGCTCTCAGTAGCTGCTCTGAGGCCCCACCCTCCCTCCTCTCCTTGCTGCAGAAACCTGGAGTCGATTGACCTCTCCTACAACAGGCTCTACCACGTCCCCTCCTACCTGCCCAAGTCCCTACTGCACCTGGTGCTCCTGGGGAATCAGATCGAGCGCATCCCTGGCTACGTGTTCGGCCACATGGAGCCAGGCCTGGAGTACCTCTACCTGTCCTTCAACAAGCTCTCGGATGATGGCATGGACCGCGTCTCCTTCTATGGGGTATACCATTCTCTCAGAGAGCTGTTTCTGGACCACAATGACTTAAAATCCATACCCCCTGGGGTACCGGACATGAAAGCACTACATTTTCTGAGGCTGAACAACAACAAGATACGGTAAACTTTGGCTTTTTCAAGTATCAACTTAAATTGTTGTAGTTATCCACATGTATGATTAAACACCCACTGCATGACGTCTGGGATTTACTTTAAGGGAGAACAGTGACAGAGGCTGTCTTAAACAAGATTGGTACATGCTAAGAATTGTCGAAGCCAGATGGTAGGTGCAAAAGGATTCATTATATATGTTTTCTTCTAAACTTCCAAAGGAAAATATTTTAAAACAGACTATTATTACCTAAACTTGGAATCTTAGAGATAGGTTGAAAAGAGACTTCAAGGCAATAGATATGGTGCTGCTCCCACATATAATTTAAAAAACTCGAACTTGTAGAGTATAAAACCCACATATATGCTAAAATTAAAATGGCTTCTATCTAGATTTTTTTAAGGCAAAATTCTGAATAAATTCATTGAGTCCATGTCCCTCACTTCTGGGGATGCATTATTCTATGTGTTCAGTCTGCCTGCAAAGCAGGGATATGTCAAGAGTGAACCTGAAGAGTTTAGTGGTGCAGGCAAGAGGCAGGTCCTTAAGGATTATGCCCTAACTTCTCCCCATCTCTTCAGTCTGAAACACAAATTTCTGGAAAGAAAACAAAACAGAGAGAATCCAGATCTTACAAAGCACTGAGGGAGGAGTTGGGGCAGGGAAGGCTTTGTAAGATTCTGTATTAAATATTTTCGCTAAAATGCTTCATAGGAGGCATACTATCTATGCCTCTGACTGCAAGGCATTAGGAGGTGTGCCTTGTCTGTCTGTCCCTCTGCTGTGGGATCTCCGTGGCCATGTCTGGTGTCTCCACTAGAACCAGTGGCCTCTCTCATAGATGACTGCTGCTTGAATGTGTGATTTCCAAAATGCTGAATTCCTATTTTTGTCATTGTGACATTTGTTACCTGGAATTCCTCTGTAAAGCATTTTTTCTTATCAACAAGAGCCACTGTGTTACTCTGAAAGTTAAGATAAATGCTCAGTTCTTTCCTTTCAATTGCCAATCAGCGTAAGAAGTTGGCTATGAATCTGTAATGTGCCAGTGATGAATGTTAACTATATTTCCTGTGGGGATCACGTCACAGTATGTCTAAATATCAAATCACCACATTGTACACACCTTAAACTAAAACAATGTTAAATGTCAATTAAATCTTTATAAAGCAGGAAAAAGTGACACATACGCATTACACATGAATGAAAAAGATGATAAAATATAGTAAAATGTTAACAGTGGCTGCCCCAAGAAATAAAAAGAAATTGGTGGCTGTTTCTGCTTTATGATTTTGGCTTTGGTTTCTGCTCTTGGCTTGTTCTTCCTCTCTAGAGAATCAATGTACACTTATGGTTTTATTTATTCAGAATGTTTTAACTGGTTGTAATTATTATTAGTTTTAACCTCCCCTCTTTGGTGATGGCAGTCTCTGGGCAGCTCCTGTCTTAGGATAGGCCCCCATCAATCTTGGGTGGCTCACACTTGCATTCCTTACTAGAGACCTAGAGACCTGCACCAGCCTCACTCCTAAACCCCTGCTCCTCCTACAACAGCACTCAGAGGCCCACCCCTGAGCAACAGGCATGCTCCTGTCCAGTGTGTTGCTACTGTTTCACGGGCTTTAGGTGTACACCAGGAAATGTGTAGTACACACTGACACTCCTGCCCAAATGTAACATTATTATTTCTTCTGTTTTAAACTTGTTTCTCTGACACTGAAAATCTATGTTCCCAACAATATTAATATTAACTTAATGTTTATTACCTTACAGTATATACACAATGGTTTCAAAATGACAATACCATTATTACAACAAAAGTATTGTGTTAACTTTACCATGTGTTCGGCAGCTTTATTCGTGTTTAGAATATGTTCCTTGAAGGATGTACAGCTGAAATACAGTGGCTTTCTCTGTGACAATATATCAACAGCTTAATATTTTCAGATAAGTCATTAGTTTGTTTTTAGATTTTAGGAACTGCTATTTTCTATTTGATTACTATTATTTTTATTGTTAAACATTTATATAATTCCAAAGTTAAAGCTGTATAAAAAGGTATATTAAGAGAAGTCTTTATTCTATGCCTGTCCCTTACACCACATTTCACCCCCTCTCCATAGGTTAAATTTTATTAATTTTTAGCTTACCCTTCCAGTATTTCTTTCTACAAATATAAGCTCATATTCCACCAACCCCTCCCACAATTTTTAGATCACTACACAGAAGGATTTCTCTTCTCTCTAGAGAGAGAGACTGTGTATTTTTTATACTCTTTGTTTTTTAAAATGACCAGGATGTCCTGGTTATCACCCCATATCAGTATATAGAGAATTTACTCATTCCGTCTTACAACTGAATAGTATCCCATTATGTGGCTATTCTATTCAGCCAGCTCCTGACTGACAGACATTTGACTGTTCCAATCTTTTGCTACTGCAAATGATGCCCTAACATATAACTGTGTCAAGCGTCATTTTGCATTTTTCCAGTCGAACTTTGAGGCAGCTTCGTGGGAGTGGGATCACTGGTTGAGAGGGTAGAGCCCATACGTAGTTTTGCTAGACACTGCCATGCCTCTCCCCACAGCTGTGCTGCTCTGAACCCCTTCAGTGAAGTCTGATGCTCCCTAGCCTCATCCTCAGAACTTGCTGAGGAGCTTTTGGATTTTGTGTGTGTGTCAAATCTAGTAAGTGAGAGTGCCAGGATGGTTCCCACTCACATTACCCTTATGAACAAAATGAGCATTTTTTCACGTTTACATATCAATTCAGGTTTTCTTCTGTGAATGCTAACCCAGGTACACTTTTTTTCTGCCCAGGTTTTAGGAAAGCTCTGTGTATTAGCCCTTTATTTGTGACCTAAGTCGCAAATACTTTCTCCAAGTTAGTTTAACTGCATTTTTAAAAAGCTGTAGCTAATTTATTAATCTTTTCTTTTAGTGCCAATTGAGTCATAAATGGGAAGATTTTTCCCCATATTTAATCCCCAGGGTATAACTATGCTTTGTTCTACTATGCTTCAGTTTTCACATTTAGATTTTTGACATACTTGCAATTTTTTCTGGTGTATAATGTAAGAAAAATATCCAATTTTATTTTAAAAAGAAAGATTTTTAAACAAATGTAAAACAACTTCTAAATTATGAAGGCCAAATATTAGGAGGACCATTAGTGACTTACATGTCTATCTTTCCTTAGGAACATCCTTCCAGAACAAATTTGCAGTGCTGAAGATGGTGATTCAACCCTGGGACATCTTCATCTTGAAAACAATTACATTAAAACAAGAGAAATATCATCCTATGCATTTTCATGCATAAGATCATATTCAAGCATAGTTCTTAAACCACAAAATATCAAGTAATCCAAATCCCCCTTCATCTTTTATAATTGTACTCATGAGTCTGTGGTACAGCATTTGTTATCAGTAAGGGACACAACCTGACTCGCCGTCCAGATGAACAGCCCAAATCAATAAGTGGCTTTCCAACAGCTGCAGAGTTTCAGCCTCACACTCCAGAAAGAAGCCACTGCGAAGTCCCTTGTGAAAGGCTCTGCACTGATGTCTAGACTAGGGGCTCCCTATGTCCCTGTAAAAGTTATGTGTGTTAGGGTTCAAAGCCAAGAAGTGTACAGCAGGAAAAAAAAAACACCAGGTAGAATTTATGTATTAGTGTTATTATCCTACTGTTAAAATAATATTAATTTTCTGTAAGACACTATGCCTCAATTATTGGCATAAATACACCTAATTACCAGCCTAAATTTAGTTCCTTCTATTAATTACATTGTAAAATTAAAACACTATTGTAATGTTAGTTTCCTGGTTCAGAACTGTACTATGTTTATGCATGTGGGTTATTAGCATTAGGGGGAGCTGGAGGATAATATCTGAATTCTATACTACTTCTGAAACTTTTCTGTAAGTCTAAACTTTCTGCACAAAACAGTAAAACAGTATTTTACTATCACCCTCATTATTCTTTAAACAAGATCAAAAGACTTTACGGAAAGTAGTGGAGCTTGCTTACAATATTGGGTAACTATCTTTGACTATAACCTTGTAAATGTAAACCTACTGCATGAAATTTTGAAAATTTGTCCTCCATTGGCCATTGCTGGCACATATCGTCCCTCTAATTTCCTCAAAAGGTATCCTTTTATTCAGTTCAATTTAACATAAAGTGATTACTATGTATTAGAACCTACTACCCAAACTATATAGCATTAAATTTTTCATTATGTAATAACCTCTTATATTTATTTATAAAATAATTTATGAAAGATACATATGGAAACAATGTCAACTTTTCTTGGTATTGGGTTCTATGCCTTGAAAAAGAACACCAGGTTAGGAACTTCAGCTCAGGTTACTCCAGTTTTTCAAACTTCAGTTACTGGGTCTTCCGCCCACTTTCTCACTACCCACTTCACAGAGCAGTAGTGGAAACCAGGCAATTAAAACATCTGGAATGTGGTGTGCACGTGAGTGCACCAGTCACTACAGATTTTCACATAAAATTGAGAGTCACTAGCATATTCAAGCAAAGTTGACTGGTCCCTAGGCAACTTCCAAGATGTGCATATTTGATATACCCCACTCGAGTTAATATTACTTTTAAGCCTTTCTTTCTAAGTGTCCTCTCTCAACAGCTAAGATTTTGAGATTACAACATGAACAAGGGTAATATGCTGCAGACAGTTAGAATCAAGGGCCAAAGGCTTATGTGTGGCTAAGAACAGAAGTAGAACCTTATGGGAAAAAAGCTGAGATTTATAACCAGTTTAGGAATGCAAAAGACAGACAAAAACAGAGAGACAGGGCTACCCACTCATGTAGAGAGCCCAGAGCAACCTGCTCCTCCTCACTGTGGGAGTGTAGACGCTGTGACATAAAAGCCCTAAGGCAATCTCAGCCTTTCACAAAGCTGGCATCTCAGACTGAAAAATGGGAGTCAACAGAACAAGCGCCCTGGAGCACACAGGCACCCCTCACTCCTGCCCTGTGTACCCTGACTGCCATCAGCCAGGTCCAGATGCTGTTCTAGAGACAGGGACTCTGCTCTCTTGGAATACACTGTAGTAGAGGCAGACAAGCTGCCAACTGGGCAGATGATCAAGGAAACAGCCTGCTGTGATGAAGCCGTAGAGCAGGGGGCAGCATGCAAGGCTGGGGTCCTGTACTTCTTGGGTTCAGGTGTGCAAGCTACAGGAGTCACAGGGCAACTTGGCCACCCCCAACAGCCCCAGGGTTACACTTCCTGTGTGGAGGGATGCATGCTGAGACTCTACTGTGTTCTCAGGGACACCCTGGCAGTGGCAGAATCTCTAGGAAGTCTGAAAGTCAGACTGACTGATGGATGCTTTATTGTTAAATTGGAAGATGCTTTTACTTCAACTGTTTTTATAATTTAAAAGATAGAATGTCAAGCATTGAATTTGTTTAGCCTTGAAACTTCATGCGCTGGATAGCAAGTTTGAATTCCACTAAAAAAAAAGTGATGAATGTCCTCTAGCAAATACTCTTTACAATATAATGTTAAAAACAACCAGATGTACTGTTTGGCCTAGAAATATGCTCTAATTACTAACACATATGTACTCTAAGGAAATCCTGGCCTAGCCATGGTCTGAAAACATTCATGGTGTGTCCACTTTGCACATATGTAAAAGGAATGCTAACTAGATTTTAATTTTGAGGTCTGGCTTATTGTAGGAGAGACTATTTCAAAAAGCACTGAAGGTATGATATGGTAAGACATGTACAGCCTGGAATGGTAAGGCAATAATTTAGGAGCCAGGACACAGGAGTGTCTGGCGTGGTCTCCACTGATCAATTTTGCAGTCATTTTGCTCTTTTAGGACTATTTGACTCAAACATAAAACGTTTGGGACAGATAAGTGGTCTCCAACACAGCTCATCACAGGTTGGTGGCACCTGGGGTGGGAGTAACCCCAGGGGATGTACACGCTCTCCCCTCAGCCCAAGCCGCTTCAGAAAGGTCTTGTTGCCCTGGCCTCCTTTTTCTCTGGGACCACTAAACAGGCACTCTAAATCTCACACCAGTTTCTAGGACTCACAGAAGACAATGCTGCCCACGCCCTGGTCCTCCCAGCCCCCTGCCCGGCTCTGCCTGTGTTCCTGAGCCCAGCTGGAGCCCAGGGACACTCTTCTCAGGTACAGGGGTCACCATGGCGTGGGCACAGCCAGTCTCCTGTATGCTAGGGCAGGAAGGTCTGGCTGGTGTGTCTGCCCTTTGTGCTCTAGAGCTTGGGCTGGGATTGGCCCCCAGAGCTGCTCCGTGACAACCAGACCACTGACCTCTGACAGGGGACACCAGGAAGGCTGGCTGTAGAATGCATGCGGTGGCTGTGGCCCAGCGCTTCAAGGCATAGGCAGGCTGGCATCCTGTCTATGCCAGGCCCTGCGGCTCCCCATGGAGCAGATAGGTCAGTGCTCTGCCAGGCTGGGGTACAGAGGAGGGTGCTGAGAGGCTGAGAGGACAGATGGGGAGCGAAAATGCTAAGCTGGGGTCTGTGCGGATCCATAGGCAAGGACAGGCACCAGGGTGTGTGAGGAGGGGCAAGGGAGCCCAGCCCTCCAGGTGGGCAGGCACCACCCTGGCATATCCAACTGTCCTGACCTCAGGGGCTTCCCGATGTCCAGCTCTACACCCTGCTGCTGACAGATCTGGCATATGAGTTAGGTTTGTACTGATTATTTCTTTGCATATGGGGTGTTGCATGGCAGACAAGTAGGGGGTATATCTTGTTTCTCCTGAAGGTTGCTAAGCTTAGAAAAACAGAGACAATTCATTTATTGGATCTCTGTATCTATGCCCAAAGGAGACGCTAACTGTTGACCCCCCAGGCTAAACATCACCCAGTAAGCTGACATTGGTATTAACACTACTCCTAAACAAAAGGGGAAGAAGGAATATTCAAAACCTAACCATTTTTAAATGAAAATTGAGAAACTGAACTGAAAAAGATTTCTATAGGGCCAGAAAATTAAGGAACAATTTCTCTTCCTAACATTCCCTGACATGGGCACTGGAAAGCACAGAGTGTACTTTGTGAACAATGAAGTTATGCTTTGACAACTGGTAATCAGTTTTCTAAGTCATCATTTTTAAACACCCTTTGAATTACCAGGTTCACAGATGCTGCCATAGAAAAATTAACTACTCAAAATCCGCTGTTTAAGTGAAACCTCAAAGGGCTGGTAAAGCACTCTGTGATGTCTCCCCCACCCTCTCCTTTATGCAGAAGATGGGTGGGTTTGCTTGCAAGAGAAGCACTCAGACAGTGAAGGATAACTGAACTATCCAACTCTCCACAGCTATGGATTCTGATCCTCAGGCAACTTAAAATTCAAGAACATTCAAAGCACCCACAAACACAGTGAGGAGCTTCTGCCAGCTCTAACCTATGTCAGATGACTCCCGGGGCCCTTAAGCTCTTGAAGCTTATGAAAAATAAGGTCTGATTCCTGTAGAAAGAAGACACATATGGTGATTCTGAACTGGAATCCTTACTGGCTGCAGACTTGACCAAGCTTAGATCTGACTTTGTTTCCTCCCTATGAGATTAGGGGGAATGACATTCACCTCACAAAGGTGCAGGGACAGTCAGGTTAGGTAATGTCCATGGCTACTGGACACAGATGAGGCGGGTGCCCATTCCTTCACTGATGTTATCAGGAAACCAGCAGGCTGGAAGGTCTGATGACTAGCTCAAGGCTACCAGGCTCTAACTATAATAGCTATGAATTATTTAAGGAAATGGATTCTTTAGAGTGTGAAATGCAGTGGGGAGAGCAGCGGACCAGCCTGCATTCCCCATGAAGGTCCAGGCCTGGGGGACCCTGCAGCCACACCAGTGACAAACCCTGGCCAGCAGCTTCTGACATCGCTGCAGGCTCACACCCAAAGACAGCGCAGGGCGAGGCTGGGGGGAGCTCTGGGACCAGGGAGAAACTGGGTCTCTCAGAGTGGAAGCTATTTCTAGTTATAGACATGGGAATAGTGAAGAAGCAGAGTTTTTAGAAAAAAATCTTCATTACAGGGAAGAAAAGTCTGACTTATAAATGTGATTCACTGTGGTTGTTCTAAAAAGAGAGATACCGCATTTAGCTTCAAGCTCAGTCAGAGATGGCCCATGAGTGGGCCTAGGGGTACTTGCCTTGGCCTCCCCTTCCGCAGCCAGGTGGCACGTGGGGGTAGATGGCTCTCCCAGGGCATAAGTGTTTCATTACTACCCCTGAGGAACCTCAGCTTCAACTGCACTAATCCAGCGAACCAGACTGTAACCAGTGTCATCACATGTTAGTATATATTTGATCCTGCGTGTCCTAAACAATGCTTGGGCATATTCTATAATTTCTTACGTGTCTTTGCTTCTACATAAATAGGGAACTATTGAGACAGTGAGCTCTGTTGGAATTTGGTCTGTTCTATGCTGTTATTTGCAAAAAAGTGAATGTTCCTACACAGTAAATAGAGCTTGGTGAATACACAACTAAAAAATAAAGGCACGACTATTTCTTCTTTGAAGTTATGTTTCTCTTTCTATGTGAAAATGGGTAAAAGCTTACAGTCTAGCATATTTTTTCCTTTGCACAAAATGTGAAGAATGTGAATCCACACAAGGGAGAGCAGATCATATTAAAAATAACATGTGATTGCACTAAACACATATTAGTTTGGAAGAGAAAAGGAATACATCATGTTATTAAAATGCTATGGTGTGTTTCTAAGTAACAGAATCTCTGTGGTCAAATAAACTTACACTAAACCATCACTTGATACCAGCGCTCCAGAGCTCCTTTAAGTTGGAATCTGCTAAAGGTTCCTTTGTTTTACTAAGTTGAGAATTATATTCACCAAAATTACCAAATTTATATGTGACCTGTCTGAAATGCTAATCATGGTGTTCAGAATAAAGAATGCACTATCAATTCTACAACTATTTCAGGACAGCAGTTCTTAACTATGTGAAGGACGGACCCCTTTGAGGGGGTGATGGAAGCTTAGACAGGCCCTCTGTACAGAAAATACACATTCACAATGCTGCACATATCAAAGAATCCTCTAAGCATTCATGTACCCTAATCAGGGAACCTATCCAGGGCAACACTTAAAATAACTTGAAATAAATTTTATACATAAATAATTCTTTAGAGTTAAGGATAAGTAAAAGAGTTAAAATTAATTTAAGGCAAACTGCTTTTTTCCTACAATTATTCAGCAATATTTTAAGACCACAGAACAGTTGGAAGAATAATACAGTGAATACCTGCATGCTCTTCACCTACATTCACTGATCAGTACCATTCTGTCACGTTTTCCTTACTGCCTCCTCTCTCCAGGTCCACATCCCTGCATATTTGTGGGGACTGGGCTGGATCATCCAGATGTAAGCTGTGGGTCTCACTGATATCCACCCAACACTTCAGCAGGGCTTAGACCGAGGACACTTCCTTATGCAATCATGTGACAACCACATTCCCTCACATCACCAAACCAAGACACTTAGCACTGATTCACGTCCTCTAACTTAGGCCATATTCTGATTCCCCAGTTGTCCCAGCAGTGCCTTAAACTGTTTTGTCTATGTGTGTGTCTTTTTGTGTCTGTGTGTATGGTGTATCTGTACATGAGTGTGTTGTGTGTCCATGTGTCAGGGTCAGCATCTAGCAGACTGCAGGCCAGCCCCTCATTTCCTGGGCTGCAATGGGGGATGGTCCCCCACCTACAGAGTGCCCACACCTATACCTGAAGAGTCCAAGCCAGTTACTGTGTAGAATGCCCCTAACCTGAATTTGTCTGATGGTTTTTTCATAATCAGATTTAGGTAAAACACCTGGGGTGAGGCCTCCACTCAGGCAACACCCTAAACTCCTTATGCATCATGGTGGGGCATGTCAGCTGCCTGTCACTGGTGGCACTGAGTTGTGGCTGATGTGGCCACCACCCCTGAGGAAGAAATGATCAGCAAGGTGCTTGGGTCCGTGTGGGTCTCCTGCCAGCCAGTAACCATCCCCTGGGTGGCCTCATCAACCACTGACTGAAGGTTTCTAACTCAATACTCCTACTGAGCAGTCAACTTTCTTCTATGAAAAAGCTCTGGCCCTTTTTACCCTCTTTTCTGTGCTGTTGCCAATAGGACTCTGCACATGGTGTGCTGTCAGCCATCATCGCATCCTCACTCTGCTCACACATCCGTCATTGCCCTGCTCCCGTGCCTGTCGTACACATGGTGTCTCGGGCATACCTATGCATCCCCTAGCCCCAGCCTGCTGTGTGCCATCTCTCCCTGGAACACTGGTCCTCCTCAGGAGAAACAGTCTTTGGAAACACAGATCTGGAAAGTAGATGAACTCACTGCTTTCAGGTTTTCCCATGGTGACAGCTAGGAAACCTATTTAAAACAAAACTATTATTCTACCCATTCCTTAAAGCACACTGATTTTTGAGGCACTACTTAATTCAGAGAGAATCTCCGATGGGTGAGGACGGGATCTCAGCTTGCAAGCCCAGAAACCCTTACCTGCACAGTACAGGGCAGGAGGCCAAGGGGAGGCCCAATGTTCATCTAAGGGATCCTCCTACAGCTTACCTGCAGCTGAACTGCACAGGACTCAGGGCCAGCTTCATCAGATTGATTTTTAAAGATATGCTGTAAATTTAGACATTGACATAAAATGTTCTGGTTTTTAAAAACACTGTATCCTCCACACAAAGCACACCTGCAGGCTGAGGAGTGCAAACAGGTCGTGCCTTCTGGCACAAAGTCTGCACAACCCGAGCCAGAGCCAAGTCCACGAGGGAGGCGCGGACATGTAAAACTACACACCAGGTCATCCCCTCCCCCATTCAGACATCCTTGTGTGAGCCGACCACACACAACCTCTGGGTTGTAGAGGAGCAGGCGTTCCCAAGTGAGGACTCAAAGCCTAGAACATTCTCAGGAGGCCCTGTGCCTGTGCATGACACACACGTCATTGTGTGAACAGCCATAGCCAACCCCTCGAATGCAGCCATGACACCTGTTGCCCATCATTCCACTAAGGCAGACTGGGCTCTGGCCCCACAACTCCCCAAAGCTACTGCATGGCCCCCTCATTAGCCATCGGAGCTGTAGTTGGCAGATGATCCCAAAGGTTCTTCTCAGTCCTGTGTGTTTGGACTCTGACCATGGTTCTCTGCCTTTGCAGCAGGAGAAGGTCAGGAAAGAGTTTTGGAAATTACATGAGAGTTTGGCTTAAGAAATTTATTTTTATTTTCACCATGGTTGGAAAATATCAGGTCATGCAAGAAATTTGTGTTTAAGTTCCTTTTATGGCAATCAATGCTTCTGTTCATAAAATGTCAGCACAGAGAATACCAGTTTTTCAGTTTTGTAATCTGTCTTATTTATAACATACTGTGCCCATTATTCATGATTTCCAAATATATTATTTGATATAGTAAAAATAATTCTCCAATAGTTAGAGCAAAGCCTGATGAGGCAAAAAGCAAACAATAAAAAAATAACACACCACACACAGAAAAGAATTAAGTCCTCTACACTAGACCCTGACAGGAACATAAAGTGGAGGTCTCTTCTTCACAAGGGAGGGGAAGAGCTTTAGGGAATAGCAGGTGCGCTGTTGTGCCTGGAATGATGACCTGTAGGAGCCTCCTGCCACACTGCAGAATAGGATGAATGACCCAAACACACTACCCCACCCCAATCACTCCAGGGCCACCTCCCTTCCCAAGTCTTCTGACCAAAGGCCAAAGGCAGATGCTGAGGACAATGGGCCACTCACACCTTCAGAAGGATGGGCACATGGCAGAGCCCAGGACTGAGGCAGGGCGGAGGCTGGGGGAGAGTGCTGGAGGGAGATGGGCTGCATGGGGGCACAGAGGCAAAGGTGCTTAGTGGGAACTGGCCCTGCAGGTGCTGCCACATAGAAGAGGAGCCACACATGAGCAAAGCTCCACTGCTCAAGAGAAGCTCAAACCTCATTCTTTATATACATCAATTCTACCTAACAAAACACATACACATGAGCCTCAAATGACAGATTAACGACTGTTCAAATGATTATAGCTGTGTTCCAAGTGGGAATGAGCCCAGCTGAACGTCTGTACAAAGACAGGATTTGTGGTATATTCATACAAGAGCGTTCCATGCCATAAGGACAGCAAACAGACCACTGCTAACCACGTGATCTAGATGGCCTCCAAACAAAACATCACATGAAGAAAGCCAGACACAGGAGAGAATACACCATATGATGCGCGCAGGTGAGCCAGGAAATGGTGCTTAAGGGCAGGCGGGAACCTCTGGGAGGGCAGGGATGCTCTATCCAGGCTCTTTGTGAAAGTTAAATCGAGCTGTACCATTACGATGTGTTCACCTTTTTGTTCTATACTTCAGGGAAAAGTTAAAAAACAAAACAAAGCACTGTACAAGACAAACACAATTTTGCCCCAGGGCTTCCCACCTATGGCCACAGCTCTGACAGAACTCAGGTTAGCAAGTTCAGTTCAACATTCATGGTGTCCCAATCTGTCAAGGTAACATACATGATCTCAACTACACATAACAGAACAGGTGGACATGTAGCATTCCAACCATACAGGAAGACCATCACCCCTCAGGCGCTGCCCTGGAGCAGGCCTGAAGCTCAGGGGGCCAATGTATGGGGTGTCTGCTGCCCGGCCAGGGTCTGCCCTCCCCACTGGAGGCACAGTATTCTCTCTACAGCTGCAGCTGACTCGCTTCAGGAGGTGACACTTCTCTGTGAGGTGGGAAAGGACAGGGTCTTCATAGCAGGAGAGCAGATGCTGCCAGCCCACTGGAAACATGCTTCACAAACAGGTTGGCCCCAAATCTGCATGCCGTGTAGACAGCTGGATCAACCTGCTTTGATGAGGCTTTCTCGCCACACTTAGGAAAATGTCCTCTTTTGAAGGACAATGTCTGAATTGCTGTGGGAATCAGGCATTCTCTTGGGGGTAGAGAGTGTGCTAACAATGTGCTCTTCTCAGACAACAGTGTCTTCCCACTCTAAGCACTTGAGTAACAGCTGATGTTGTCTTGAAAAGGGAAAGTCCAAGCAGGTGTCATCTGGACCCCTTGTCAAGTCTGTGACAGCAGAGGCTGGGCCAGGGCATCGTTTCAGCGAGGACCTGAGAAGCACGCCAGGGTGCGGCTGTGGTCGTTGGAAGGCAGCAGCGAGGGTCCTGTCACAGGCACGCCTGCAATTTGGGTTTCTGTCTCAATGATGTGGGTGTCTGTACTAAGATTGATTAATATTTTCTTAGTCTATATGGGGCCAATGATTTTAAAAGTTGTAATTTATCAGTATTCATTCAAGACTCATAAACTATTTTTTCAATCAGGTATTCCTTGAATGACTTTGACTATACTTTCAATGGCCAGTTGCCACACGTTATTAAGCTCTCTTTTTCTTCAGAATCTTCCAGTAGACGTCGAGAGTTTAGCTAGAAGTCTTGGCTATGATACAAACAGTGATGGAAAACACATGAGCAGTAACAAGTCTTAATCTCACTGCTCAGTCCTGACACGGGCTAATCTGTGGGAGCAGCTCACTCCAGTGTCACCCGGGGAGCTGCCTTGCTCTGCAGAGGGGTTCCTTGAAATGTCACGCCCTCTCTTCATTTCTGCCTAAACAGACCTGAGAACACTCACATTATAGACAGATAAGCAGTGCATGGTGGAAAACTCTACTTTCAAGAGGACTTACTTTCCTCTTACAAGGTATGTTTCCATGTCTTTTATTCATGTATCAGTGTATCTTACCAAGGGGACACTAGTGTAATTAACATAAGTGCTTGTAAATTGCATAATGAAGTTTAAAGTTTATTCTCTATAATTTCTTAAAAATCAGCACTTAAACTACATTTCAGCCTAAAACTACTCCAGCTTTTGTATTTTATATATAATGGATTTATTTTCAATATAACTGTGACTTTTTATTCTACAGCTAAGTGAAACCTCTCATACTTTACCATAAATGTTAACATGATTGATTTTAAAAAATCACTTAACAAGCTACTTGTGAGTAGGAAAACAACATTGCCTTAATAATTAGTGATAATGAAGTTTGGGGATATCACAAGTACATTAAATGAAATAGTAAATATTTCCTTTAAAATGTAAAACTATGATATTTTCTAATGTATATTTTTAAGTATGCCAATTATTCAAATGTTGTTTTTACCCATGCATTTGAACATACTATTTTTCCTTGATGAATGTCTTCCTTAGTCCTTTGTAATGAAATGCTAATAGTTAAAATGGAAATCCACATATTTCCAATTCATTTATCTGCAATAGTTTAACTAGCCCCATATTCAATATAAAAGATTAGGAAGTTCTTTTCACGAAGGCCAAACATAATTTATAACAAAGATTTCCTTTGTCCCCTCCCAAGGAATCTTACTAATCTTAAGTTTAAAAATAATAAACCATGTGTGGGATACTCTACTCCCTTGTAGTCTAAGTGGAACACAGCATTCCCTCCTGTCTGCTCAGAGGTGTGGCAGCCATAAATAGTGGCCGCATGGTATAGGGTACGTCACAGAGACCTCAAGAGTCTGCGGCTCTCTAAAAATAGTGTGGTGGTTTTTTTTTTCTTCTCTCAAATCCACCAAGAATCTTTGAGTTGTTTAAAAAGAAAAAGGAAATAAAAATAAATCATCAGCCCACACATGTGACAGCATCCTTATGTTTTTGTTTGTTTTTAGTGTTGAGTAATATAGTTCAGTGTGAGAAGAGGGGGTATTCAGTCTTCTGTTACCACTAACACACTCATCTGACTGTTAACTAGCTCAACACTGAAGAGGAATTCTTGGCTATGTGAGGTGGAGACAAAACAAAACTGCAGGCCCTGTCTGTGGACGCCATGTAGGAAACAAGAAAACGAAGCAGGACTTTTTGTTCAGGACCCAGCTGGTCGCTCGTGCTGCTCAGGGAGGCTGTGAGGGACAGGCTGTAGGCGGGGGAAGGGGCTGCGGCTCTGACGGGAGGCCAGGCACACTGCGCAGGCTCGCCACTGTTTCTTAAGGAGGGCGTGGTCTTCAGCAGCACCAAGATGCACTGTGAACGAGGATCCAATGCATGTTTGTGTAGTGCACTTGCTTACTCCCACCTGTGCCCTGATGAACCTGAATTCAGCCCGCATTCCCTCTGGGAACACAGAGCCTGCTCTGTCACATTCATATACCGGACGCCACTACTGGATGTGGACCGACAGGAGTATTTCCGCCACAGGGACAGTTGCCAAGTGGACCTTTAAGCATGGGATTTAAAACCACTGCAACTTAAAGACTCTCCTAATAATAGTGTCTAACATGAAATACCCTTTCAGTTAGACAAATTTTCCATTCTAAGTTTGTGGAACATTTAAGTGGAAAATAAAAGTTTATGCAAATTCAGAAAAAGTTCTCAACTACATTTCCTGTCCTGAGAAACTGGCCAAACCACCCGCCTGTCCTCTGCAAGGAGTCTGGTTACTGTCTGGAAGTCACTGTGAGATTAAGACCTGAGCAGGAAGGAACAAAGCAGGAGCAAGGGGCTGGTGCTGGCTCTCTCTACAGTGCAGAAGGCAGGGAGCAAAGCCTTGAGGGCCTCTCGTGGCTCTAACGTGCCAGGGCTTATTAAGAATAGCAGTAGCACAAAAGTAATATTCCAAATACTATTATGATTAAGAAAAATTTGAAATTAAAATCCAAAGCCTTTCATGAGTAAGAACTCTGGAAAAACTGGTCGAATTCAGGGAAACACTGCAGTAAACTCAAAATTTTAAAATAAGGCAAACAACTAAATGTCATACCATTTTAAGTGAGAAATAATATTCTCTATATTATTTCTGAGTATCAGAGAAAAACACTGCTGTGCAGTGTTCCCTCCTGGACACTATGATACTTTTCAAACACTGATAAAAAGTTGCCTTTGGATAGGGTGAGACTGGGGGTGCTGTCATTGGTACTTTACCCATCACCTAAGAGGGTGCAAACAGTGACGTGCAGAGCCGAGGCCAGCCTGGACTCTCCAAGTGGCCAGGATGCAAGATGCAGAGGCTGGTCAGTGACATGCGGCAACCAGTCAGCCAGCACAGAGGAGACCATGCCAGAGGCACTGTGTGACCTCCACCTGAAGGGCTTCCCACCATGCAGGAGATGCCCAGGGAGCCGTGCCCATGCCTCTCCCCAAGTCCCGCAGGCAGAGCATCTGTAATATTCTGGGAAGCCCCCACCCCAGGAGAGGGTTTCTTCCAGAGGACCAACCCCTCCCATCTCCATGCTGAGCACTCTACTCACCAGGGACAGCCCAGGGTACCGTGGCAGGAAAAGCACATGGAGAACTAGTTTTATTGGTGGACTTGTATTTAAAACATTTAAAAAGGCAGTGTTGTAATTTGCACCAGGCAAAGGAAAGTAATCCTTCCACCCCACCCTTACAGGTGCGCCTGTTCATCAGTCTCTTCCTTGCGTGCAAGTATGTGTTACAGCCATTCTCCTATCTATGGGCTTACACGGTTAACTGAGGTTATGAGGGGTGAATGGGTCACAGTGAGGAAGTTCACTTCCAGGCCTGGGACCACACATCTAGAGCTCCCTTCAGACAGTCAGAGCCACTGTATATGGTCGGCACTACTTGCAATTTAGTTCTATTTCCTAACTTGGGCATTTGTCTCTGAGTTTTTCTATCATGTCCAAGTACTGACTTGTACAACCCTACACTCACCTAAGAGTGGGGTTATAGGATGTGGTCTTGTTTTGAGGGAAGCAGGTTGGTGGCCCAGAAGCCCTACTCCACAGATTCCACATCCAAACACTGCCTAGTGCACAGTGGCCTCCTGACAAATGCCCGCTGAACAGGTCCAGCAACCCAAAGGCACAGGATCTAACAGCTTCTCTTGCCATGATCAGACTAGGTCAGGGACAGCTATGGACCTAGAAGACAGAGTTGCAACACAGAACAAAGCTAAAAAAAAAAAAAAGGCAGTCCAGGGACAAGCTTTGATTTAACTATGAACCAAGACTGAATTAACTAGGGAACAAGAGTTCTGGAGGTCAAGGCAAAGCTGGGAACCAAGCATTAACGAGTCTGGAACCACCTAGAACCACACACAACTGCCCGGAACCATTTGAAAACTTAAGGTCAGGAAATATAATGGATCAAAGTTGGGCAGGTAGCCAAGAAGCAGAAATAATGTGCAGAGAAGTATCAATGGAACTGAAGCTCACTGGACCTTAACCTGGAGCCCCTAGCAGGATTGCAGGGTGACTGGGCCTCGGGTTATAAACTGCCTGCCAGCAGCTGACAGAGATCCTTGGGCACACTTTTTCTGCACATCCAAGTCTGGGCACATTATCCCCATTCCTACCCACCAGCCCACTCCATGTGCCTTGGTGCACAGACTGGCACAGACTGGTGCTGGAGGAGACAAGACAGAGAGTGCCTGTCAGGCGTTCGATTTCGAGATAAAAGAAGCGCGTGCTCTGGCGAGGGCATAGATAATGAATTGGGACATAGGGGTTCTGGCTCCCACCACGTGGTCCAGTGGCCTTGGGGAAACTGTTGACTCTCTCTGTGCCTCTTATTAGCATGAGGGACACTCCTGGAATGGACTCTAAAGTGACAGGTCCTCACAGCAGTGCAGAGATGGGAGGCTGGGACTGGCTCTGAGGTGGGCCCCAGAAAAGGGTTTTAAAAATAAGAAAAGCTTCTGCTGGTCTCAGGCCCACCCTGTATTTTCTCTTTCCCAGCACAGTCGAGGTCTACTTATCATAGACAAACCTCACACATGGAGATGGTAATGTCTAGCCAAGCGTGGGCAAAACGCTTGTGTTGCTATTTAGGTTCTAAGAATTAAATAATGTTAATTATCAGATTAATAACACATGACAGTAGGGTTTTTTGAACCTCGAGAAAGGTATGTGATTAAAAGACATCCCATATAAATGAATATTTAAGTCAAGTTAATTAATTCACTTCTGATTCCTAAATCCAGAAAAAGCAAGGCTGTGGTGAGACATTAGAGCTGATTTCTGGGTCCTGGGAAACTGTGAGCAGCTGGTATGATTCCAGGATGTGGAGGTCAGGCCCTCCTGCAGCTGGACCTCCCCAACTGAGCCTGGAAGACCCTTGCCGCTAAGGTGCTACCTTTTGTGGGCGTGGCAGGCCCCTGTGTTGCTAGGTGGCTGGTGGAGTGTGGATTCTCCCTGCCTAGATGTAGCCTCTCACCCATGTGTGTCTGTGGGCAGCCAACTGTAGCCAAAGGCAAGGCTGGCATATATCTGTGGTGATGATTTCATAGTGCTTTTAATTCTTAAAAATCACAAAGAATGTATGTTTCATAGGTGATGGTTAAGAAACCACAACATGTAGGCACACCTGTGGGAACATCTGCCACCAGATAATAACATGTCTATGCTTTACACTCCAGTTTTATGCAGGCCTTAAAAAGTACAACTAAAAACAACCCACCACCTAAGTAGACAAGCAGAACTCAGTGGAAAGATGAGTAAGGAAGAATGGTCTGGACTTAGATGCTTTTGATTAGGTATTAGACAACAGTACAGATTAGAAGGAAGAAACCCTGGGGACAATGTGGAAAGTGACCACCCTGAGCGTGATGCAGGGGTCAGCCCAAGATGAGCTCCTGCATGCCAAGGAAAGTGCCACTCTGAAAGTGACAGTGACATAGATAGGCTATGGAAGGGTTTCAAGAATGGAGTCAGGTAGGATAATGTTTTTGTTTTTATTAGCTTACTTAATAGGTTCCTAACTATTAAAGCAGTACTTCCTGCTCATTATAAAAATTAAAGGAAAAAAAAAAGACACAGGTAATTCATGGTTCTACTACCCACAAATTATCAGCCATTAGGCATATTTATGCGAGATTTTTTGAGTGTTTTGTAAGTACATCAGGTATCGATTTTTAGTATTCTTTTAATTAAAAAATGTCCTACTTTTAAACATCTTTGTGGATTCCAAAGTATTTAATGAAATAAATGCACCCTATTTTATTTCACTATTTCCCTTTAACCACTAGTATTAGTTTTTTTGCTGTTATATATAATCTTGTAATGAACATCTTCATGTACATTGGAATTATTTCCTGAGACTAGATTCCAAAGAGTAGAATTACAGGATGAAAAATAAAAATACCTCTAAAGCTTCTAGTGCATGTTAACCAGCTGTCTTCCAAACATGTTTCCTCAGTGGACACTTGCATAGGGCCAAGAGGGCCCCTGCATGGAGCTCCCGCAGTTCGAGTACCCAGACAGGCGGACGTGTGTGTGGACTGTGGCTCATTCCCCATTGTCTATTTGGTCCTAGGCTGGCCCTTGCATGAGGGGACATGAAGGAGTGTGTGCTCCTCGTTCTCCTGGCCCTGTGCTCTGCCAAGCCCTTGTTCCACCCTTCACGGGTGATGCTGAAGGACATGATGTTGGAGGACACGGAGGACATGGAGGATGGTGATGCCACCTCTCTGCTGCCCATGAAGGAGCCTGTCAACCCATTCTTCCCGTTTGACCTGCTTCCAGCCTGCCCATTCGGGTGCCAGTGCTACTCGAGAGTCGTGCACTGCTCCGACCTAGGTAAGGCGCATTCTCTCGCTGGAAGAATTGTCATCCTGACAGAATTAAAAGGACAAGGGAAGTCCTCATGGAAATTTAAAAAACCAGCTCATTGATTATAAGGGAATTTTTCATTTTAATTTTTTGAAAGTACAACAAACTCTATAGTACAACTAAACTTATTTTAAAAATCCAGAAAATCAGAGCAAAACAAGGGAAATTTCATAGGTAGACCATTCTTTCATCTTCCCAGATTTGAATTAAGTGCTTCATTTTAATTTCCATCACAGGGTATGCTTTTCCATTGACATTTTCTCTCCTGTTAATTTTTGGTACTGTGGTCTCATCTTATGAACCAGCAGGCTGAGATTGTGCTTTCTAATAAAATTTCATAATAACCAGTAAGGTGCTTGTCCAGAGCAAAAAATAGGTTATTGACTTTGTGAAATCTCTAACCCAGACATTTTAAAGACAATGATCTATTTGTTTTGAATGATTTGGTTTTGGAAATATCTAAAAATGACTTGGCTGAACTATATCAGTTTCTAACATCTTTTAAAAATGTGTAATTCTTTGTTGAATATTTTATTTTTTAATTCTTCTAACAAAGGCACTCTCAAGTAAAGGGGCACACTCATGTGCTGCCCAGAGAGCAGGTGGGGTGGGGATGCACACCAGGAGCAGCTGTGCCCAGTTATTTCCCAAGGGCTCAAACCACGGGGAGCCATTCGGGGCTGGAGGCCCAGAGGGGTCCCTTCCTCAGTGCTTGTAAGCAGGTAAAGACTCTGAAAACTTTAGACTAAGATCGTGCTGCCACAGGAAACGTGACCATAGTCAAAGCCTGTTGCAATCCAATCTAGTAATAAAGTGTGTTATTAAGGGACAAAATAAGAGAGGGAAACAAAAAGCCTTCAGAAAGATTATTATGAGCTACAATCACAGGGAAAGCCTTAATGGAATATATAGGCTAGGAAAAAATGGGTTTTAAGTTTTACCTGTGGCATTCTTAGGAGAAAGATGATAAGAGCAAGCAACTTTTGGGAAAAGCTAGTCTGGAAGGATGTGCAGAATGTGGTAAGAGCAGCAAGCTGGAGAAAGGCAGGAGCTGAGATGAATCCTGTGGTGAGAAGTCAGCTGCACTGTCATTCCCCAGCTGCATTCTAGGCGGGAGAAGCACACTGCCCATTTGTTGGGCTGGTGCAGGTGTGAAACAGCAATGAGAATGAACATGCAGGGGTCTACACAGACATAGCTGGATGTGAACTGAGCAGGGTTCTGGGCAAGAGGGACTAAGGAGATGAGATGCCCCCCACAGTGCAGACCTTCCTGGTGTGACAGGAAACCGAGTGTCTGCTCCAGCCCTGGGGCCTCACAGGACCCTGTGCATCTCTGTTCCAGCACACGGCTGTCCTCAAAGGCCTAGGAAGACCACATCACCTTCACAGACAGCTGGCTGAAACACTGTTTTCCTTAGTCTCCTGAATATTAAGCTCTGAAAAAAATCTACTGCACAGATTCCCACAGTGCAGACGTCTGTAGCAGTCTGGTGTGTGTCTTTAAGACGGCTCATTACTGTTAGTGGCCTGTACCTCCCCTGCCCTAGGCTTGGGATGGAAATGAAATTGCTCTCAGTGCTCCAGTGTCATCGGGGTGGTGTGGAAGGGCTGCCTCATCTGTGTCATCAGGTCGTCTCTGCAGGCCTCCAGCTTCCTGCAAGAACCTCCACTTCACTTTCTAAAGTCAAAATAATCTCCGTACTACACTGCCATACTGTGAACCCATCCAGTTACGTATGGCCCAGCTTCTTAAAAGAGCTACCAATTTTTAAGCAGGATGAAGTCTCAGGGTGGCAGAGTGGGGTGCTGGAGCTTGTGGTGCTTTGATACTGAGGTCCTTGCCCCAGGCTCAGGGGCAAGGACAGCTTCCCAAGTGAACTGACCCTGACATGTCTGTAGGGTAGATGGAAAGATGGATCAATGATGGGCAGTGAACAGTCTAGGAAAGTGTGAAAGAGGCTGTGGGTTTTCACTGTAAAATTCTCTTGACTTTTCTGCATAATTGAACATTTCATTATTAAAATGTTGGGAAAAATCACAAAGGCCCCACGTTCATCCAGCATAACGACCACATGGAATACCTGACGATGAGGGGAGGCGTGCCCAGCATCTGGGGAGCAAGATAAGTAAGGAAGCAAGCACCATGTACAGCTCCTGCTAATTTGCTGCTCTTTTTGTCTTTTAACTCAAGGGGAAAGCCATTTAATAACTAGGCTAGCACTTACTGAGTGCCCAAATGAGGAGGAGGAAGGCACAGCTTTACCTCCACCTGAAATGACAGGTGGATGGCTCACTGAATCTGGGGGCAGAAGTGCTTACAGGCAGGCCAAGGCAACATGGGGCAATGGGTCAAGGAAAAAGTGCTGGGGGTGGCCCAGCAAGGGGGTACCCCCACCTCTGTGTCAATGTGAGTCACAGATGAGCATGTCTCCTAAGTCAAATAATCTGTGATCAGAGGAGCTCACTACTGATACTATACATGAAAATCATCGATAGTCTATTTTCTAAGCACAACTTTTTACATGTTGGGGCTTCTTAAAATGGTCAAAACCCACAGGTTCCAATTCAGCACAACAGCCTGACAACCTGCAAAGAACACTGGCATTCCTCGGCCACTGGTATCCAGTGCCAGCCCTGGGCCCCCGCAGCCCACTGACCTCCTCTCAGTGTCCCCTGGCAGCAGACAGCTCCACACCTTGTGGAAACAAATGTGGTATGTGAAAGGTCTGTAGGCCCTTCCAAAGAACGATGTTTTGTCATGTGTAACAGATTTAATAAATGCACATCTCTATCCCATTTGCAGCTTCATGTAACATATCTGTTTATTTCTCAGGTTTGTCCTCCATCCCCAGCAATATTCCATTTGACACCCAAATGGTTGACCTTCAAAACAATAAAATTAAGGAAATCAAAGAAAATGACTTCAAAGGACTCACTTCACTTTATGTAAGAACATATGCTCTTATTTTCAAATATTTAAGTGAAAATCTCTAGCTCAGCCAGATGATTACTCATATTGCATTTGTATAAGCAATTTTTAGTTTTCTGTATGAAGAGTGACAAAGTTCCTGTTATTCAGTGCTCTGGTTAGTGAAAAATTATAGATTTGACTCAGTAATTTAATTCAACTAATTTTTACTGTTTAACAGCCAGGTGAAAGGCAGTGGGCTCAGAATATAAGTAAATGATCCTTAAATGAGCTTATGACTATTCAAGTAATTTAGTCACTGCACACTAGAATGAGTAAGACTATTTTATTAATAGGAACCAAGCCTGCTGACTCACCTTAAGACACCACAAATCTCTAGTGGCAGCAAACACAATGTATCTCATTGACTAATATAGACCTGTATTGCTTCTTTTCTAGATTTTATGGATTAGAAAGGTTTTTTTCCTTACTATATTTACTAATATTTTTAATTTTCTAAGGTTTAAAATATTCTTATTTTTCTGTTTAATATCTTGGGGCTCTGTATTTTATTTTTATTTTATTTTATTTTATTTGTTCATTCATTCATTCATTCATTCACTCATTCATCCATTTATTTATTTATTGTCTTTTTATTAAGATATGATTGATATACACTCCTTATGAAGGTTTCACATGAAAAAACAGTGTGGTCACTACATTTACCCATACTATCAAGTCTCCACCCATACCGCAATGCAGTCACTGTCCATCAGTGTAGTAAGATGTTGGGTCTCTGTATTTTAGCAAGTAAAATTTCTAATTTGATTTGGAATTGGTCTGGGAGAGCCCAAGTCCACAGTGTGCAGTGCATGCTATCCCCACCCTCTATATGGAGCTGGTGGGGTGCCCTCGTTCTGCTAGGTGGTAAGCCTAGATGCTCTCACAAGCCATTTCCCATGACTCATGCCAGACTACAGAGAAGAAACACAAGGCCTGCTTTGTACAGAGCAGTTGTGGCTAAAAGAAGGTAGAGACCCCATGACCGCATCACATCCCTGCGGACACGTGCTCTTCCTGAATGGGATGGGCACAAGGCCGCCTGCGCTGCCTGCCAAAACCCCTTGGCTCAGTGTCTTAAGTCCTGCTGACCCGTAGCTGTAGTCAGCAAAAGGAGACCACAGAATCCATTATGCAAACCAGTGCCTGCCTGTCAGTTGATGGGGAAGGACTCTCAGGCCAGCCACGCTTCAGGCACCATAGGGGACATTCTTTACTTAGGCGCTCACTCCATCCACACACCCAGCTGTCTGGCAGGGTGTGGCACCCACAGGAAGCCCAGGTCAGCCTCTGCAAAGCCGCTCCTCCCTGTGTTGCCAAGCAGCCAGGTCCTTCGCTGCTCCCTGCCTTTCAAAGGCACTGAGCACCCAGCTCACATCTGCAGAGGCTCCAAATGTAATAAAGCTTTCATACAGAAAAAGTCAACTGGGAGAGCACTATTATCCCTGAGGCCTTACCTAAACTTTAAGACCATCAGAGATACTACAGTGGATGCCACAACGGACCCATCCAGTCCGCTCTTACCTTCAGGCCACAGAAACTTTTGGAGAACAGCAAGGCCATTATTCTACTCTCAGAAGTTGGAAATATAGCCTTTGAATGCTTCTGTCACTTCTTCAACCTACATTCAGCTATGCAACCAAAGAATAATCTTAAAATCACAAACCAAAATTATCAAAAGCTTTTAATTCACTTTGTTCCATCATTATTTTATTACATTTCAGGGGCATTCCAGGGACTTAGTCCACATGTACTCCATTACTCATTGGGAAATGGACTCTTGAAGGTACCAGGAGTGTCTTAGGTGCCCAATCTTCCTTTAATGTCCCTATATGGCATGGTGCTGGGAGGCTGAGTGTTCTAAAGTCAGGCAGCCCTGGGCCCAAACCTTGGCTCTCCAGCAATGTGCACTGCACTGGGAGAGGGGCTTACTTCTCTACACTTGAACTCCCTCAGCTGTAGAGGGGATGTAACAATGGTGTGGACTTCAGAGTGGTTACGTAGATGGGTAAACATATGTGAGGTGCTTGCACCCAACTGTTATTTAGGACTACCAGCAGCCTAGTGCTTCCAGACCAACTCGCTGTATCAGGAAAAGCACTTTTAGAGCACATACTTTATATGTGAATTGTGGGCAGGTTATGTTTCAAAACATCTACTTAATTTTAATGTCATTTTATATGGTTCCTGTCTTTAAAGAGAATCAAAATATTTTTCAGATATTCTATAAATTCTCTGTATTATGTTTTAACCGCTTGTTCAGCATTCTGGTTCTTACACTGTCTCATTACCTAACCCTTACCAAAATGAGCACTGTGGTCTTTATGTGACCTGAAGTGGGCGCATCAAAAGACAAGCCAGCATTAGAGCAGGGGGTGCATCATGCATGTGCTTGTGACCAGTTTACTGCAGCCACAGTCATATCAAAGACACTCTCCTCCTTCTGAAAGACTATACTTTTCTCATTTTCTGTTCTTCCCTATAGCCATACTGTCTGGGACTCTGACTGCTGCTTTGGGATTTTCATGGGAAAGCCACACTCAAAGTACAGTTTAACTGAAGCCTTGGGACAACATGAATGTTACCATGTAGAAACTCCAACAACCACATTATTTTCACTAGAGAAACAAACCCCAGGCATGATGCTGGACCTCACAAGGCCACGTGGGCTTCTAACGTGGAGCCCACACAGCAGGAAGGGCAAAGTGTGAAGGGAGGTCAGGGGGCAGGCTGCCTTTCTACACTGTGCCATCCCTTCACCACTAAAAGGAGGGAGAATTTCTGCTAAATTCATATCATGCTGTGGCCTGAGGGTTCGCCAAGCTTCAGACTCTTAAGTGGCAGCACAAAGAAAGCAGGATGTCCTACCAGTTGGTAACAAAATGTAGTTTTACCTCCTTTCCTAGGCTTAAGCTTACTGAGGTGAAATTTTTAACAGTAGTGGTATGTCTGAAAGGAAGATAAGAGAAGGGAGAAACACGAGGGAATATCATAAAATGGGAGTTCAGCTATCTACATATTTGTATTTCTCTTTTGGAACAACAGCAAGGTGAGCAACACCAGAAAGACATATTCAGTCCGTCTGGAAACAACAGGAAGGATGGGGCCTAGAGACAGAATTCGTAAGAGGACTGAATCTAAAACTGCTCCCTGACAGAACGGGAGTGTCCCGATTAGCAGAGAGGCATAAAAGGCCCCAAGGAATGCCAAGCCACCTGCCATCATCCTTGGGAAACTGGAAATTCTGCAGAATCTAGCAGTAAAACAAAGGCTAAGCAAGACAGCTGCACCCTCCTCTGCAGCAAGCCAGAGCAGAGGGTTCTAAGCTCATCCCTCATATCTCTATGCTGGGAAAAATGGTCAACATGTAAACATGACAGAAGCAAGGTTTTAAAAGTAGATAAAAACTTGTAAAAATCTGTTTGGTGGCACTAGACTTAATTTTGTAGAGCAAAAATAAGATAACAATAAAAGTGTCCACCACTCCCATATGGGGAAATGGGAGGGGCCTTCACCTTGTGAATGAGTCATCTGAGAAGATGAACCATAGACACAGCACCAAGCTGGTCCAACCTGGGGTTCTTATTACCTCAGACTGATAAGACTGATCAGGTTGGGATTTATTCACATGGTTAACCAAGTCTAGGAATAACATAATTTGCACTGATTTCCGTGGGTGACTATTCGCACTGGAGTATCAGTAAATCAAACCCACTTCCTAATACAATGTAACTTTTTGTGTTTTATCTAGGCTTTGATTCTCAACAACAACAAGCTAACGAAGATTCACCCAAAAGCTTTTCTAACCACAAAGAAGTTGAAAAGGCTGTATCTGTCCCACAATCAACTAAGTGAAATACCACTTAATCTTCCCAAATCATTAGCAGAACTAAGAATTCATGATAATAAAGTTAAGAAAATACAAAAGGAGACATTCAAAGGAATGAATGCTTTGCATGTTCTGGGTAAGTGCTTGTAGATGGGACATTTCAAAATCATATGTAATGTGCAGATGTAGGGACCTTTATCATCACTACTAACAATTTTTAGGGCTGATAATCACAAAAATGAATTTTTTAATCTAATGATCTTACTTAGATAAGCCATTTATAAATCAAAGTATCAAAAAAATCTGTAACACTTAAAGAAACATGCCTTTTGAATATTGTTCTGGGTAAGTGCTTGTAGATGGGACATTTCAAAATCATATGTAATGTGCAGATGTAGGGACCTTTATCATCACTACTAACAATTTTTAGGGCTGATAATCACAAAAATGAATTTTTTAATCTAATGATCTTACTTAGATAAGCCATTTATAAATCAAAGTATCAAAAAAAATCTGTAACACTTAAAGAAACATGCCTTTTGAATACACACACGCAATCTCAAGAATTCCCTTGGCAATAGGTATGTGGTTTGTTTTCCAGCTGCATCCTAACTGGTAAACTCTGTTATTCTTATTTAATTTAAAGGTAGTACTTTTAGTGTATTACATAAGCTACTCCAATGCAATATACAAAATTAACTTAGCTATCATTTGGAATGTACATCTAACTTTTCATTACCTGCTTTAAGATCAGTAGCTAAGGAAAATTTTTGTTCTACATTTTAAATTCTACCCTGTTTTACTTCTAACACCCATGGTATAACCATGCCACCTCCCCCTATGATACACATCCAAGATTCCTAACCAGTCTTCTCATTCATTTATTCACTATTTAATTCAACAAACCGCCTGGCACTTACTCAATAGCCTCACTTACTGGCATTTCCTCAAAATTATATTTCTGTTAATCGAATAATAATTTCTAATTAACTTATAATTTTAAAAGTTTAGGTGGAAAATGTACACTAGAATATAAACATTTTGAATTATATGAAGGGTGATCTTTCTTCAAACATTATACATTAATATAACTACATTAATTTAAACATTATACAACATTAATACATTAATACAACAAAGGCTTCATCATGGCATGTCAGAAAAGCATGGTAAGTCACTGATTCAGGGAGCCTGTTATATGTTCCAGCCTATGTAATGTACATTAGTAGTGTCTGCGACAGACAGAAGCAGGGTAGAGAGATGCAGAGACAGCCACACTGAGTGAAACAGTCTGAACCACGAAGTTCACATTGACTAAGTTTTCTTGGGATGTTTCTTTGCATTGTGAGTTTCCGTCTTATGTATGCTAAATTATGTAATTTCCCCCACAGAAATGAGTGCAAACCCTCTTGATAGTAACGGGATTGAACCAGGGGCCTTTGAAGGGATGACAGTGTTCCATATCAGAATTGCAGAAGCTAAACTGACCTCAATTCCTAAAGGTTTGTTATTTACTTTACTTACGATTTTTAAAATGGCCATTAAATGTAATGCTACAAACTGCATACATTGTCAAAACCACAGTGTGGGGAGTCCTCACTGCCAGACTATGGGCAGCACTGGGGGAAGCCTAGTGCTGCTCAGCATGCAGACCTAGGTGTGGGCTGGGTTTTTTTCTTTTTCTTCAGTATGATACCCGAATCTCTGTTCCCAGTGGGAACAAACATTACAAAGCAATGGACTTTTTATTTTCCTTTTCCTCCTTTTATTTACTCTCCTGTACTCGTCATTTGGTGTGGAAACTGCTAGAGGTGGGAATTCCGTGGGGAAGCAAGCAGGGGAGGAGCCTGGTGCCACAGGCCCTTCCCAGCTGTGCAGCAGGGCCAGATGGGGCCTGTGGGGCTCAATGGGAGAGACGCAGACTCTGTCAGGGTCAGGCGTGCACCCTGATTCTTCCCGGGTGTGCCATGTAGATCAATGGGCACAGAAGGGTCTGAGGGCAGGGTCCGCCTCACGGTGAAGGCCATCTCATTACATGGCCCTTACCAAGATGAGCACTGTGCTCTTTATGTGACTTGAAGCGGGTGCCACAAAGCAGACAGCTTCCTAAGTTTGCTAGTGGACCTATTTTCTAGACCCTCCAAGCTCTGAGTTGTGGGATGCCCTGAACAGGTTTTCTTGGGACCCTGCTCAGAATCTTGCCCCAGCCTGACAAGGACCCCCTCTCTGCCAGGATGACTGCCTGGGTCAGATGCAGTCCCTGGGAGTAACAGTGTCTCTTCTTTCACACAGCTCTAGCCTTCAGTGTCCCCAGTAAGAGCACTGAGCTCACCAAAACCCCTTTCTATCCCTCACCTGATCCAAAGACTAACAAAACAAACATCCACTGATAATTGAAAAGACACAGCAAAGCAAAGCTGCTATTATTAATTAAGTGGTGATCCTTCACTTAGAAAAATTACCTACACTGAAAGTGGGAAGATGATTTTTTTATACAGGAAAAATCAGTTTAATTCAGACTACACAATTAAGAATGATCCTAATTTAGTTTTCAGGGTGGTGGCTGCTTTCCTACAAGAAACCTAAAATGTTATATTTACCCTCTCATCTTCAGAACAGCAACAAAACTACAACCCCTACCTAACAAGTTATTAAGTACATAGAGTCCCTGCCAATGCTGGAAGCAGGCCCAGAGTAAGACGAGCAGAAAGTGGGAGAGAGGGCATGTGCATTTAACTTCTCAAACATCAGCATCCTTTGCGGCAGGATGAAACTGGGCAGAAGTCCAAAGGGTCCTTAGCAGACCTGACAAGACAATGGGAGGAGAGTGAACAAAGTTCTGGGGAATTCTGCTACATAGGTGTGTGTGGAAGGGAGGAGAGGCCTGCTGGGAGCTGGGGTAGGGATTGAAATACTCACTGAGATACTACCCAAATTCAAGGCTCTGTTCAGGCTACTGCACTCTTCTCTGGTGACCTGTCCTTCCATGCCCCAGGGGACAGACCAGTCCCGAGTTCCACACACCCTCCACCAACAAGGCCCCCTGACTTCTCAGCATGAGCAGAGGTTTCTGTCTTTGACTTGCTACACATATTCTAGAAGAGGCTGGCACAATCTGTAATGTTTTTCTAGTCATTTTGTACATATGATGGATTTGCTCAACTAGTATATAAGGTCTTTGAAGACAGAACCTTTTCTTTTACATACTGGAGAAAGAAGAGTCATTCCATAAATATAATTAAGCTCCCCTAATCAATATTCAAGAAGTTAGAACCCTCGTAGGTTAGAATCATTCTCCTGATCTTTGGTGTATTTTTAAAATCCAAAGTAGATTCTGGAGTCAATATAAATCCAGCCATGTAAAGTGCTGATATTCATAAGGATGCTTTGATTGCCTTCAGCAGTCTGCCACTAATAAAGGAAGGAAATACTTCAGTTAGGTGTGCTTTCCCCAGCTAGCTAACCAGCACCTCTGGCTGACAAACAACACCTTCCATATATGCCTGAATTTTCTGGTTACTCTCTTTCATTCCAGCTTCAGTCATTGAGGGTGGTGCTGGGAAGGAGGGGCTGGGGCCAGAACCCCCAGGTGTGTGAAGAGAAGGTGCCAACGTTCATGGGGTCCTGCCCTGTGCCACATGGTGCTGCAGATGCTTCTCTTAGTTTATGCAGAAACTACTACAAATTTAAAAGAAAAAATACCAAAATGGATCAGACAAAGGTAAAAATCCATGTGCTCAGAATGATAAAAAAAGAATCACTGGTCTCCTCTGGGCATTGCATTACCTGAAGGAATCACGCATCCATGCTGCCTTTTCTGTAAAAGCTATATAACAAGTTGAATATTTGATGAAGGAAAATTCTTTAGAGAAGAATTCCACCTAAGATTATGTGTAAAAAGGACAAAATCAGAAACTCACCATTTTCCCATTCTTAATGAAATCATGGGTCTAGGTAAGTACATCAAAGAATCTAAGACCATCAGGTGAAGGGGTGGCTGACTGAATCTACCTGGTCCCCAGACCCAACACCAGGTCATATGAAATAAGGGGGCCAGAGGATGAAGTTGAATGGTATCATGTGAAGCCACAGGCCCAATCCACAAATGAGAATCACACACAAATCAATACACAAGGGAGAAAAAGGAGGGAGTATGTAGCATCAGAAGAGACTTTAGAGATATACGAGGCAAATGATCTGTCAACTTTAGTTGAACCAGGGCTAGAACAAGCCCACCTAAGACAGTGTATCTGAGATCACTGGGGAGACAGACATGGGATGATGGTACACTGTGGCTGATTTGTCAGGTATGATCCTGCATGACGGTTCTATGAGAACAGACACCCTGTGAGTTAGGGGCATGTGAGGTCTTCACAGGGGAGGTGACATTATATATGGATGTGAATTTAAACATGCCAGCCAAAATATATACATAAATAAAAACAAGGCAACAATAACTAATGTGGTAGATGAGAAAAGACTAGAAAAATGGAGAAAATTGTTGAATCTGGGCAACAGTGTGGCAGTTCATAATGCTGTTTTTTATTTTTGTGTATATTTGATATTTACCAAAGTAATGGGTTAAAAAAGAAAAGCAGATCTCTAAAAAACTGCCAAACTTTATAATGTGAAATTAAACCAGTAAATAAATAATCAGTGGGCTGGGACTTACTTGATTTAACATACACATTTCTTTTCTTATCACAAGAACTACCATCAACTTTATTGGAACTTCACTTAGACTATAATAAAATTTCAACTGTGGAACTCGAGGATTTTAAACGATACAAAGATCTGCAGAGGTAAGGGACCCCTCAAACCCAAACCTAGAAGTGGCAGTCCACCTGATGCTTACACTGAAGAACCCCAGGGGGCCTGCATCCAGCAAGCCCTGGACAGCGAGGGGGAACCACCAGGAATGCTTGGGAATGGGTGGGCAGGACCCCTCTGTCGAACGCAGGGCAGAGGAGCAGAGGAGAGTGCTGCAGGCTGCTCTGGGTTATTAAGTAAATGGAAAGCCTTCCTCTGACATGTATGTGAATAGGACAGGTTTGTATTTCCAATCAGTCACGGTGCTTCTGGCTAACTGTATTACTCCAGAATTTGCTTAAGAGCTGACTTATTTTATACCACTTTTAGGCTGGGCCTGGGAAACAACAGAATAGCAGATGTTGAAAATGGAAGTCTTGCTAACATACCACGCATAAGAGAAATACACTTGGAAAACAATAAACTAAAAAAAATCCCTGCAGGATTACAGGAGTTGAAATACCTCCAGGTAAAATATTCTATTTGTGTTTTGTAGATATTAGTACTTCCCTTTGTTTTTATGAAACATCTGAGTATCTGAAGCAAAGACCAGGCAAGCAGTGAGGGTAATGCTTATAAAATGACCCCCAGGTTGCCCACATGCTCTACGCAGGACAGTGCCAGGAGAAAGGCTCCAGTGTAGATGTCAGGATATCAGATGAATGCTTAGGTACCCATTTCCACCCTCAGTTTCTCCTACTGAAACTGCTCAGGCTGCTGTGGCTATCACTGACCCAGCTAGTTTCAGGCTCTGGGGTGGCAGTGTCTCTGTGAAGGCAGGCCTGGTGGAGAAGAAACCAGGAGGATCACACCTCCTTCCATTCCAGAAACATATCATGAAAGCAGAGTCTGTGGACAAGGTCCCGGGTATTTTCACTATCAGTGGGTGCTAGATTAGAAGCGTGTATGCTTTTTGAAAAATTCAGGCCAGAATATATAATCAATAGTCAGTATGTGGAGTATCATGGGCTCACAGTTCTTGTTCTTCAGTATGAGAAACCTTTTCCTTTCAATCTGGCAACTCTTCACTAGTTGGGAGGGGCCACAGAATCCTGGGAGAATCTGAAAAAGCTTTAGATCCTCCCCAGAACAAAAACAAAGACACTATTCTGCACATACTTTGAAGAGTTTCATAGATCCCCTGAATTCTCGTCCAGACCCCAAACTATGAATCCCTACCTGACCCCATTTCACGTTCGACCATTTTTCTCATATGCTTTCCTTCACATCCTCACCTTTCAAGATGCAAAAACACATTGAAAACAAACTGGGCCTCAAGTCACTTGTTTTATCTGGATTTCTTTCCAAATTATCTTTGGATACATTTGTTCACTGTACTCCTTTGAGACAGACACCACCAAAACGGACGTGCTATGGGCAGGTGTTCATGTCAAGGCCATGATGACTCTGCTGTGTCTAAACACCCACTGAGCCAGTAGGCACCACCTTGGTCCTTCATTGGATCGACTGTCCTGCCCACGTACCTTTCTCCACAACTCTGACCTCAACCTCTGCTTGCTCCTACATCTACTTATATTCCTGTTAGCATTTTTTAAAATAATAGAATTATACCACAAAAAGCAGACTTATACAGAAGAACGTAATTCCTAAGTACTGTCCACAGAGCAGACCCACCCACAGCCAGCACTGTTTCCCACGGCCAGTGAGGTCAGTGCTTGCTGCGCTATCCCCGGCATGGACACTGAGCAGCTGGGAAGGCCAGAGGCCACTTAAAGCATCTGCCACAAAATTCCCAGGAATAACAGAGGGCAGAGGAGCTCCAATATCAAACTGAAAGGTTTTCTCAGTGCCTAGGGTTCTCATGACCAGCTCAGATCAATCCCACTGAGATGTAAAGGCAAAATCTAGAGGTAACAACAGCAGAACTGGTATCTTAAGCTTTGCCAGCAAAAGGTCCCCACTTCTTATGTGCCAAAACGCTGGTCAGTTAAGTAGATTGTTTTTACTTCCCAGAAATATCAGTTGCCAAAAAAAGACCAAAGAAGGAATTTAAAGGGCTGTTAAAGGCAGTATAGGGAAATCTCTATATTGTCCATTCTTTTTGAATAATAATTAATCTAAAAAGACATATCCACAGCCTATAAAACTATGTAAAAACCAGTGGACAAATAAGTCCACTGGTGCAATACTCAACTCTCAATGCTGTATTACACATAGGTACTTGGGACGTCAAAAGACATTTTCTATAAAACAATTAAAAAAAAGCAACTCTACATTTCTCTCTCTTGATCACAGAAAATGCTAGTCAACAATTCTCACATTCATATTGCTAATCCTTGGAGGATTAAATTCTATTCTGCTCATTCTTAACACATTCAAAACCATTATTGTAAATATGGTACTGAAGTAACCATCCACACATACACACCCTTCCCCCTGCCATATACTTACTGTAGGGAAGGAGGGTGGCATGTGCTGACCAGGCAGTATGCTCTGGGCCTTAGCCTGAGTCCCACACCACACATCACACACAGCATTTCTATGTGTAACACATGAGCCTGAGCTGTTACAGTAAGTATTAACAGGAAAAAACAAGTACATATATTTTAAGCAAAATATATTCAAATCAGTGTAAACTTTTTAAGTAGACAAACTCATGAACAAGTGCTGACTATAAAGACAATTATCTTCTGTTCACATTTATTGTGTATTTTTAATCTATTCTTTTTCCCTACTACAACAGATAATCTTCCTTCATTCTAATTCAATTACAAAAGTGGGAGTGAATGACTTCTGCCCAACAATGTCAAAGATGAAGAAATCTTTATACACTGCAATAAGTTTATTCCACAACCCGGTGAAGTACTGGGAAGTACAGCCGGCAACATTTCGTTGTGTTTTGAGCAGAATGAGTGTTCAGCTTGGGAACTTCAGAAAGTAATAATTAGTAATTAGTAATATCCACTGAATATAAAATTCAAAAATTATTATATTTGTAATAATTGAACTCTATTAATAATGGTGGTATTAGGCACATAAGTAAAAATCTATTCCCATGTGGTAAGCCCATTGATTTGCTTTATGACAAAAATTTCAACAGAATTTTGCAAAACTATTGATACATCAGGATTAACAGAAAGTCTCTATTGCAGTTTCCTTTTTGCATAAACCTCATGCTTGAATATTCTTTCTCAGTAACAAAAAATAAGACATATATTTAACACTTAGTTTTCAAGTGCATTTTTAAGAGACCTGTACTGTAAATGGAATGCTTGACTTAGCAAAATCTGTGTTCTTTCATTTGCTGTTAGGAAAACAAAATTGAGGATTGTTATATGAAGAGTATATTTTACTATTCTTAGTTTTCCTTTAATAACTTGGGTAGTACTGTAATATTTCTGATACTTTTGAACAATGGTTTGATATAACCTTATTCAAGTTCTCATGTCTTAAGAGTCCTACTGGCTTTAGGTTTCAATTAACCTCTTATTATAAAGCCTTCAGTTAGTGTTTATTACAACTCGACAGATGCTATTCATAACAGCTGTTTTTACGCTATAGGACATGCTTTTCTTTTTTAATTATTATTATATGATGACAAATCTGCTATAAAAATGCAGAGTGTTTATCTAAAATCTGTAACGTACATTTTTTATTATCACATGTATAAGCTTTTAACAGTATGTCAATTGTTATGTTATATAACATTGCCACCTCAACACTAAGAATATTTTTGAGATGTCCTTTTCTAAGACTTGGGTTGGAAAAGCCTGGACACAACTGATTCTCCACCAAATTGTTTCCTCAAAGATGCACAAACTGGAAAGCTCTGAAAAACACATTTGGTATATATGAATAGGCAGAGCATTAAATGAAACACAGAAACTAAAAGCTCTGGATATGAATATTTTATATTCATTTGGCATTTAACATAAGTTAAATAAAATTAGAAAATGAGGAAAACATTAAAATACTGGTTTGTAATAAAATATTTGTGCTTTGGTTTAATTTTTCTTCTTTCTCCCAGGAAGATAAGCTATTTTTCAGAAAATTTTAATTTATAGATAACATTTTTAGCATAGCATTGATGGTTATTCTTAACAATATTAAAATGCTCTAAATATAAAAATGTAGTGTTTTATGTTAAATTACCTAAAAAACTAGATTTTAAATAATTGGGTTGAAGTAGAAAATATTGGTTAGAGATAACTAAGAAGTAGTGGAGGGTTTGGATATCCAGGTCAAGAATGGGAAAATAGGTCATGTTCCTCTAGCAAGGTCCCCTAACTGGCATGTTGACACTCTGGGTGGGTCACTCTTGGTGGGAGGGGCTGTCCTGCCCTTTCCAGAATGTCTGGCAATTCCCTGGTGTCTACCCACTAGCTGCCCACCTTCACAGTGCCGCAGTCAACAATTTTCTACAGACAGTGCAGGAGTGTGTGTGTGTGTGGGGGGGGGGGGGGAGGGGTGGCAGGCAAATCATAGCTGGTTGAAAACAACTGCTTTACAGAAAATCTACTTAATTTCAAGTTCTGACACAAGTTTAGAAACCTGGAACAAAACAGCTATTTTTGTTCTGTAAAACTGTAGGGGCAAGATCAAAGTGCAATTAATTAAAGTAATGAAGTGACCACCAGTAGTGATATAACAGAAAGCCCAGGATGCACAGCTTTGAGTTGAAAGAAGGTAACCAGGAATCCAGTCCTGCTTATCGTTTTGGACAAGTCACCATCTCTTTGAACCTGTTCTCCTTTACTAAAAACAGTAGGGTAACAATATTGACCAATTAGGATGCCATGAGGATTAAATGATAAAAATGTGTGTGAAGATGCTTTTTAAGCCTTAGAAGTTCCTAAAATAAGTGTAGCTATTCCACTGGACAATTACTGACTGATGAGAAAAATATGAAGTCCATAAAATAAAAGTGACTATTGTTCTTTTCATTCATCATTGTAACTAAATATATTACCTTCATTGTTAAATACATAATAATCATTCTAAAACTAAAATATTATAAAGTTCCAATGATTTTAATAAATAAAACATACTTATCTGTATCAAAAACATAAAATTGTAAAATCATGGCACTTATAAGAACATGAGTAAAAGTCAATATTCACTGAAATTGTAAGAATAGTAAAATGTTGAAATTACCTAAATTCATAAGAATTAACTAAGGTTAGAATCAGCTAAACAGATTAGCATATGATCTGAGTAGTGGAGCCTAAAGAAGCCAAGTTAATCTTTTTCTGAAACAAACAGACAGAACAAAAAGTTTTCAAATACTGCAAATGATTCCTGAAATCACTGTAGTTAATTTCTTGTAGTTAATGTTTGTATTTTTCATTCCTCAGCTGTCAACCATTTTTGGTTAGAAGTCTGCAAAACACAAATCCTTAATAAAAATCGTAACCAAAACTGCATACAAGTTTTCTGCCACAAACCCATTTTACAGTAAATATAAAATATCACCCTCTTGAAATTCACTAAACTTTGGCAACAAATGAATTGCTGCAACTTACTTGGTTTATTAAGAACTTCAAGAAAGAAAAGTTTCATAGGCCATCTATCTGTATTTCGTCCCGAATACTAATAGTAAAAAATGATCACTGAGTTCATGACACAAATAAAATATTATTAGGAAATCTCATAAAGTCACTAAAACTAAAGTTTTGTTTTTTAAAAAAAATCTATTTTGTTCTTCTTTAAAGTACTGAATCATTTCCCTTTCCTTCATAACTTCATTTTTGAAAGACTTATCTTTTACTACCTCTGTACACACATGGTCCTTAACTTACTGCAACTGACTTAACAGTTCTCCTGAATCTATTTTCCCAAAATCATACTATATGAATAATTCTAATCACTAATAGGTGCATTTAAGGAATATTTTCAGACATTCTTCCAAACTGACATCCTCACTCTGCATCCATGCATCTGACCCTTGCAATGGTCCTGTGAGGCAGTCACCTTTCCTTACACCTGGTTCTCAGGTGGGGACATGACCGAGCAGGGTGAATGGGTGTGGCTGGTCTGGGATCAGATCCCGGCGGCAGTGACTACTTTGAACCATGACAACACACTAATTCTTCAGTACTGGTCATTCCTGCTGCTGCCTCCTTGGCTTCCACGTAGCCCACCTGTGGGGTGCTCCTCAGGGGCTCCTGTTCCCTGATATCCTTCTTTTGGCCTCCTCTCTCTGCCCTCTGGCAGACTTCTCTGTTGCTCTGCATTTAGCTGTAACCACCAAGGTGAGAACTCTGAAGGCTACCTCTCAAACTTGGACCTTCCCCGGGCAGAATAAACCCTCAAAAGGAAACCTGAAGGTCTGGAGACATACGACCAAAATCAAAAGCAACACCATGAATAATTTCTTTCAAATGCACACTGTCCCTCGTGACCTGTCCTCTCCCGGCCTTCAGGATTCCCACGCCCTCCTCATGTCTGCAGCCCGGGTGCCAGGTCCTGCTCTCAGCCATGTGCTGGGGCCACCCTCCCTCTTCTGCCCTCACCGAGTCCTCACTGCATCTGCTCACCTGGAACAACATCAGAGGCCCATCCAGCCCCAGTGTGACAGCCTTGGATGCACAGCTTTGAGTTGGAAGAAGGTAACCAGGAATCCAGTCCTGCTTATAGTTTTGGACAAGTCACCATCTCTTTGAACGGCAGCTTACCATGCCACCACTCCAAGCAGCCATAACAAGGTGACCACCCACAGCAGTGAAACTCCCCCACTGCTAAGACATAATGCTGCAACAAAGAGAACTGGTTTAAAATGGCCCCTTCCACAGACGGGAACAGGCTTACAAGGGCCTGAAGAGCACAAACCACGTTCTGCATGCTGTCTGCTCATGCAGTCCCCTGCTCAGACCCTAGAGGGGTTCCCACTGAGACGGAACCACAAAAACTTCGTCAGCCTCTCAAGCCTGTCCCTGATCACACTCAAACATGATTTTGAGCTTTTATTTCACAGGTGCCTCTTCTCTGGTCCCCCCTGTGCCACCTGCTTCCAAGGATGCAGTCAGGAGTACGCACCTCAGCTCCCCGACACAGACGGGCTTCCCTCTGCCCCAGAGCCATCCCAGCGCTTCACTGTACTTTGCTTTCATCTTTTCACTATCTAACCTCACACAGTTGCTCACACGTTGGTCTTTCCTTTACTGACTCCCAGGGTTCTGGCCACCGTGGCTGCCATCTCTGCCTCTTGTCTTTCTCCCTCACTGAGGCCAACTGGCCACCTTGGCTCAACACTTCTTTGGACTGAATTTTTGGTGAAGGGAAAGAAAACTTCCTTGGACTTCTTTGGTGAAGGGAAAGAAAACTGCTGTCCTTCCCCTAGGAGCCTGGCATATTACCCTCCAAGTCCTCCAGCAGGGAGCAGCTCACCATGCCACCAGCTCCCCAAAGACGCCCCACACAGGGCCTGCAGATGTGCACAACGGCCTTCCGCGTTACTGCAGGGTTATCACAGTTTCCATCTCAGGCTCTGGGGAGCTTGAAACAGGCCCTCCCACTCCAAGCAGCCATAACAAGGAGACCACCCACAGCAGTGAAACTCCCCCACTGCTAAGACATAATGCTGCAACAAAGAGAACTGGTTTAAAATGGCCCCTTCCACAGACGGGAACAGGCTTACAAGGGCCTGAAGAGCACAAACCCGGCCCAGCTGGAGCACACCATGGCACAGACTTGCGGTTTGTGTGCTAGAGGCTTCCTTCCAATCAAGGAGAATTTATGACAGAAGCAAAAGTAGATAAAATATATTATGACTTCTCACTCAGTTTTAAAAATTCTCAACTCACAGCCAATCATATTCACTTGCACTCCAATCTCTATTACTATGTTTAATAACAACTTTACCGAAATAGAATCCACACGCTGTACAACTCTAGTACATTCAGGGATAGCAACCATTACCACAATCAATTTCAGAACATTTCACCACTCCGAAAAGAAGCCCTGTACCCATTAAAAGCTACCCAATTCACTCTACATCCTAGATAACTGCAAATCTTCTTCCTGTCCTTATGGATTTGCCTATTCTGGACATTTCATAAAAATGGAATCATGCACTATAATGTTCTTTTAAGACCAGTTTCCACTTAGCGTGATGTTTTCAAGGGTCATTCATGTGACATAGCGCATGTCAGTACTGCCTTTCTTTCTACTGATGAGCTTCTGTGGGGATGTCTTCATTTTTTGGGGTATATATTTTAGGAGTGGAATTGTGGGTCAAATGACAACTTTATATTTGACTTTATGAGAACCTGTACACTAATTTCCAAAGTGACTGACTGTTTTATATTCCTAACAAGATAACACAGATTCCAACTGCTCCACATCCTCAAGGACCTCTTCACTGCCCTTTCTTTGACTGTGACCATCCTAGAGAATGGGAAGTGGTGCTTCACATGGCTTTGATTTGCATTTCCCTGAAGACTAGTGATGCCAAGCATCTAGTCATGTATTTACTGACCACTTGCCATCTTCTTTGCAGAAAAGTCTGTTCAGATGCTTCACTCTTTTTAGAAACGGTTATTATTACCATCACTAAGTAGTATGAGTTCTTTATTCTAGACAAGTCCTTTATCAGACATAAAATCTGCAAAATTTTTCTCTCATTCTGGGCTTTTTTTCCCCCTCCACTTTCTTGATGATATCCTTTGGCACAGAAAAGAAATTTTTATTTTGATGATATCCAATTTATCTATTTTTTCTTTTGTTTCTTGCATGTTTAGTGTCACATATAAGAAACTGTTGCTTAAGCCAGGTCATAAAGACTTACATCTATGTTTTCTTATAAAATCTAACAGTTTTATGTCTTAGGCTTAGCTCTTTGTTCCATTTTGAGTTAAATTTTGCCTGCGGTATGACGTGGGTATCTAGTTGTCTTAGCCCCATCTGTTCAAAGAAGACAGAGAAGTAAAACTCCTCCCTTGGCCCACAAGCTCTTCCATGCCTCTACCTTATCTGGACCTGACTCCCCCAGCA